TTGTACTGTTGATATTTGGCTCTGTTGACTAATGAGTCCCCCCGACCACTGCCCTACGGGAAAGGATGGGGGGTGGGGGAGGGGGGGAGGTAGGCCAGGGACTGATAGACAATTCCTGCAGTCACAAGGGAACACCAAAGCAAAGAACATATACAAGAGCAAACTGCAAGCTTGCTCAAGGATGTCCCTCTTGCCAGCCACACACAAGGGCTTCAATTCTAGAGAATCAGGTTTATTAGAACAGTCTGCAGGATCATTCCTAGTTCACAACCCAGTGTCTGGCCCTCGGGGTGGCAAACAAAATCTGAACACCGAGTTGTGTTGAACATGGCATAGGCTCAAACATCAAGATGATTCTTCAGCTCTTAGGCCCCAGGGACATAAAGCAACTTCTTTTTTTTAATCCTCACCCAAGGTTATGTTTACTGATTTTAAAGGGGGGGGGGGGGGGGGAGAAAGAGAGAGAGAGAAAGAGAGAGAGAGAGAGAGAGAGAGAGAGAGAGAGAGAGAGATTGGTTGCCTCCTGTGTGAGCCCCAACTGGGGATTGAACCCACAACCTTCTTGGTGTATGGGACACTCCAACTGAGACATGGGGCCATAGCAAAGCAATTTCTTGATGCCCCAGTTTTCAAAGCCCACTTTTCAAGAGCGATGTCCTATAATTCTGAAGCCCTTTTCTTTCCATTGCTTCAATAAGGCTGCAGTGGCTCAGATTTTGTCATGCCATGCAGAAACAGAACTGCAGGATTTTTTTGTTTGCACAGTAAGACCTACTCTAAATACTTACACAACATATACATTTTAGTGGAATAAGCCAGAATAATAGTGCAAGTTGGTCTGCCAGGTAACTGCACCTAAACATTTAATTAGTGTATGCAAAGTTTTATATTAAGTCGGTTCTTAGCTAGTAAACATTTTTGGGAGATGTTTCTAGTCACGGCCTTTGGCTGACACAAGGGAATAGGGAGCACCCTTTCTGAGCGTTATAATGAGTATCTCTGTGTGTGTGCCTGCATATTCTGTAGAGATAGCAGAACTGGAATCTCTAAACACATTACATGTGCAATCAAGCCCTTTCCTAAAAGCAGTTCTCTTTATTAAATTCTAGACAACGACGATTTACAACTATGCATCTTTTCTCCCACTGGAGCTGGAAAGGAACAAGGAAGATAGAGCTTGCCTGGCCAGCCAGGTGGCTCAGTGGTTGAGCATCGACCCATGTACCAGGAGGTCGCTGGTTCAATTCCCAGTCAGGGCACATGCCCGGGTTGCAGGCTCAATCCCCAGTGGGGGGAGTGCAGAAGGCAGCTGATCAATGTTAATGTTTCTCTCTCATCACTGTTTCTATCTCTCTTTCCATCTCTCTAAAATAAATAAAAACATATATTTTTAAAAAGATATAGTTCACCCGAGCTGGTTTAGCTCAGTGGATAGAGCATCAGCCTGTGAACTGAAGGGTCCTGGGTTCGATTCCAGTCAAGGGCACATGCCTAGGATGCGGGCTCGATCCCTAGTAGGGGGCATGCAACAGGCAGCCGATCAATGATTCTCTCTCATCATTGATGTTTCTATCTCTCTCTCCCTTTCCCTTCCTCTCTAAAATCAATAAAAATATATTTTAAAAAAAGAATTGTGATCCTTACTTAAAAAAAAAAGATATAGTTAAATAACAGTTACCTAAAGTTTTCCCTTTTATGATATCTGAATGTTCTGTATCTCTGGAATCCAAGGAGGCATGAGGCAAAGACTCTTAGCCTGAGAAAGTCAGTGAACATTTGGATGATGAGCTGAATACATACAAATACACATCTCACAGAGAAACTTCAGTGGAAGGAGATCCTAAAATATGTCTGGAAAGCCCTGATCGGTTTGGCTCAGTGGATAGAGCGTCGGCCTGTGGACTGAAGGGTCCTGGGTTCGATTCCAGTTAAGGGCATGTACCTTGGTTGCGGGCACATCCCCAGTGGGGGGTGTGCAGGAGGCAGCTGGTCGATGTTTCTCTCTCATCGATGTTTCTAACTCTCTATCCCTCTCCCTTCCTCTCTGTAAAAAATCAATAAAATATATTTTAAAAAATATGTCTGGTTTAGAAACCAAGATGGCGGCATAGGTTAACGCCGGAGTTTGCTGCCTCAAACAACCACTTCAAAAATACAACTAAAAGACGGAATGGACATCATCCAGAACCACAGGAAGGCTGGCTGAGTGGAAGTTCTACAACTAGGAGGAACCGAGAATCAGAGGAGGCGCAGTGCTGAAGTAAAATACTAAGGTGCGGAGTGCGTGCGGCGCGGGCTGGTGGCTGAGGGCGTGGTTGTCTGTTTCAATCCGGAGGGAGCCTCAGACTCAGAGCTCCAGATCCGGGCGAGTCTCTAGGGACCCAAACTCAAACGGGAGAAGCAGGACTGTCTGGCTACGGTCCCTCCGAGGTTTGCAGCTGTTGCTGGGACAGAGAGGCAGAGCCCCTGGGGACGGACTGAGAGCAGCCATAACTGCTCCCTCCTCCGCCCTGTTGATCCCGTGGGACCCGCCCCGCCCAAGCCCTGCACAGAGCCACTCGCCGGATAGCCTCAGGCAAAGGCTAGATTAGCACCTCCCTAGAGGACACAAGTTCTTCCACTGCAGACACAGCTGATTATCACAGCCAGTCGGCCTGGAGGTCAAATCCCTCTAGTATTAACTATAACAATCAAGGCTTAACTACAACAAGACTGTGCACAAAGACCACTAGGGGGTGTACCAAGAAAGCGTAAAAAATGCGGAGACAAAGAAACAGGACAAAACTATCAAGGGAGGATATTGAGTTCAGAACCACACTTTTGAGGTCTCTCAAGAGGCTTCTAGAGTCTGTCGATAAACTTGATGAGATGTACAGGAAATCTAATGAGACCCTCGATGGTGTGATAAAGGACCATCTAGAAAGTAAGCATCACTGACTGAAATAAAGAATATTATACAGACTCCCAACAGCAAACCAGAGGAACGCAAGAATCAAGTCAAAGATTTGAAATGCGAAGAAGCGAGAAACACCCAACTGGAAAAGCAAAATGAAAAAAGAACCCAAAAATACGAAGATAGTGTAAGGAGCCTCTGGGACAGCTTCAAACGTTCCAACATCAGAATTATAGGGGTACCAGAAGATGAGAGAGAGCAAGATATTGAAAACCTATTTGAAGAAATAATGACAGAAAACTTCCCCCACCTGGTGAAAGAAATAGACTTCCAAGTCCAGGAAGCGCAGAGAACCCCAAACAAAAGGAATCCAAAGAGGACCACACCAAGACACATCATAATTAAAATGCCAAGAGCAAAAGACAAAGAGAGAATCTTAAAAGCAGCAAGAGAAAGAAACTCAGTTACCTACAAGGGAATACCCATACGACTGTCAGCTGATTTCTCAACAGAAACTTTGCAGGCCAGAAGGGAGTGGCAAGAAATATTCAAAGTGATGAATAGCAAGAACCTACAACCAAGATTACTTTATCCAGCAAAGCTATCATTCAGAATTGAAGGTCAGATAAAGAGCTTCACAGATAAGGAAAAGCTAAAGGAGTTCATCACCACCAAACCAGTATTATATGAAATGCTGAAAGGTATCCTTTAAGAAGAGGAAGAAGAAGAAAAAGGTAAAGATACAAATTATGAACAACAAATATGCATCTATCAACAAATGAATCTAAGAATCAAGTGAATAAATAACCGGATGTACAGAATGAACTGGTGATTATAATAGAATCAGGGACATAGAAAGGGAATGGACTGACTATTCTTGGGGGGAAAAGGGGTGTGGGAGATGCGGGAAGAGACTGGACAAAAATCGTGCACCTATGGATGAACACAGTGGGTGGAGAGTGAGGGCGGAGGGTGGGGTGGGAGCTGGAAGGAGGGGAGTTATGGGGGGGGAAAAAAGAGGAACAAATGTAATAATCTGAACAATAAAGATTTAATAATAAAAAATAAATAAATAAAATAAAATAAAAAATATGTCTGGAAAAAAGGGAATAGCTTGTGTGTATGAATATCAAACTCAGTATCATGCAATATTTAAGACCTGTAAATACCTTAAATGATGCTCTCTCTCTCTACTTAGTTAATATTAAAACATAACTTTCCTAAGTTCATTTTTGGGTTTGATCTTCCCAATTTTTTCTCAAGCAATTGAAGTGCAATAACAAGAAGTTTTCTTATCATGGGACGTTTTAGGAATACATCCCTTGAGGAATTCTATTTAAAAAAACATAAATAAGCCCTAGCCAGTTTGGCTCAGTGGATAGAGTGTCGGCCCTCAGACTGAAGGGTCCTGGTTCGATTCTGGTCAAGGACACATACCTCAGCTGCAGGCTGGATCCCTGGCCCTGGTCAGAGCATTTGTTTGAGGCAACCAATCGATATGTCTATCGTACATTGATGTTTCTCTCCCCCTCCCTTCCTCGCCAATGGAAAAATATCCTCGGGTGAGGATTAACAACAACAACACCACCACCACCACAAAGAGCTGAAAAAATATATATAAAAGCTTATCTTTTTGCTGACATAATTTTTCTCCATATATACAACTTCTTATGCAATAAAGTGTTTATAAAACTTTAATTTTCTACACTGTTGAGTAAAAAAAGGACTCACGCCTACTTGGAACACAGCAGTTATCTTGGAGGCTCCATTTTTGTTTTATTTTTCCAATGTGGTCCTTGTTAGGTTGTATTTCTCAAACTGATCATAAGGTGTTGATGATACAAGTATCTGCCTTCACAACCTAGGCAGTTGCTGACAGCTAGTTATCAAAAGACATCACCATTTTACAACAGGAACTCAACACAGAAGGCATGATGGAAAGTCATTTTATTTTTCCCCAGATAAATTTTAAAATAAAAGCTTTTAATGGAAAACTTCTAGAACTGCCATGTCACCCTGAACGCCAGCGACACTGTCTTTCATACATGTAGGAAGCCGGGTCCGGGCCCAGTCAGTACACACATTACTCCATGGCCCTTCCAGTTTTGCATGTACAAAATTGTCTGCTATTTTGCTGTAGTAAATAGCAACATAATTTAAAACTTTCATGTCTCCTATGTGACACCTAAAATCCAGTCCTATTTATTAATACAGTTAGAAAAATAAAAGCCTTAAAAAATTCATGGTATGAGTTCACGGTGGTAATCACATAATCTCTTCAAATGTAAGATCATTTTTTACATTTCTACATAACAACCTTCAGGTTTAATTTGAAAGGCTTAAGACGAACTCTAGTAGGACTGTTAAGTCGATGTACATATCAATTATTTGACTTTTACTTGTCTTGAGAGAGTTAATTTCCATTGTCCACTGAATGAATGCCTTTCAAATATTAATAAATATATTACAGTATTTACAAACATTCTTATCTACTCTGACACTGGTAGACAGTTAAGCCATGGGGAAGAAAACAAAGATCTTCCAACAGGGTGAGTTCATGAGGTCTGGGACCAAAGCAGCGGGTGGGTGCTTGAGCCTGGAGGGGGTCAGGGTGAGAGTTAGAGGTGGGATGTGCGCAGGGAGGGCTGCTCAGGGGTGCGTCCAAGCTCTAAGACACATCAGGCTCCAAGTGAGACCAGCTGGCCAACAACAGTTTTATTGTTGTTGGATCAGAAGTAAATGCCAAAGAGCTGGAAACCAGGACAAAGAGGAACACTGTAAAGTATGTTATTTTAGTAGAAAGAGGAGGAAGAGAGACCTAAGGTCAGCCTAAGGATTGTAAGACCACACTCTACAAGCTGTTGGTGAATTGCTCTCTGGAAATTACCTAATTTAGTGGAGGTGTTTGGTACATGTCATGGATAGGAAAGGATTAAATGCAAGAAATTATTTTGGCAACAAAAAGTGATACTAATTTGATTTCTGTAATTTTAACTATATCATGTGCTGTTTCCTTACACTGCTTTCTGCAAATTGTCTCATGCAGATATATCATCCATGTAACCTCTTTAATGCAATAATGCTGTTGAAGAATTTATATTGCAATGCTCTGGTATAAGGTGATCATAATGCCCAAATCCGCCCATATGAAGAAGTCAAGTCAAAGATTCTGATGTGCTAGGTATTTGCCTTGTGAACGAAATGATCATTTTGGGGGTTTGGTTTCTTATGTTTAACTAACAACATAACCTGGGATAGTGTGTCATTCTGTTAAAAGACACACTATCCCAGGTCATATCAAATACCACTCCCTCTGCCTGGCACCTCTCCTGGTAGTCGTTTAGAGGCCTAGGCTCAGGCCTTCAAAGGGTGTGGCTCCCACCAGACCATCTGGGGTAGAGTTCAAATAGTCCCTTGGAAAATTTTATAAATGAAATTCACCCAATATAATGTGTAAAGCTCTTAGACAAGAGTCTTTAAAATAATTTAAACATTTGCATAAATCAGTAAGGGTTCTCTGGTGGCCCACTTTACATGCAAATACAGACAAACTGTTAACATGCATTATTTTAGTCAACTGGTAAAATTTATTTCAAAAGTAATTTTAAGCCATTTACTAAATTGTAAACTTCAATCCATTAAGAACTACTACCAGAGCAGTTTTGAGGTATTACTGTTAATTTAATATAGAAATGTTACTACATTTTTATGTGGAATGAAGTGTGACTGCCATGCCTTTTATTAAATGGTGCTGTCGTAGTGTTGACTACAGACGTGTCTTACAGCTTTTAGGAAATTATTGTGCATGTGTATTAACTGACTTTCAAACATTAATGGCAATTTGATTGGTTGGTCATTTCTAAGCATACCAAAATCATAAAGTATAGTCCATGGTATGGGCCAAACAAGAGAAATTTCAGGTATACAATGTTGTCCTCCAACCTACCTTCATCAAAAGCCCACCCCACTTGCTCAAGTTGTTTACAAGGAAAACTTGTGCAAAAAGCATCCAAAAAGACTAACAGCAGGTTATCTTGTAATTTAAAAAGAACTAGACAATGTTGTTGTTTTTTTCAACTTCATTTATAAAAATAAATAAATTTTAGTTTGAGACCTTAGGTACCAAATTGTGGCTTGATTTAGTCATGGTGCCTAGACTATAAAGCTATGGAAAACAGAGTTGAAAATGCATGAGCTCCAGCTCATTCCCAGTGTGGCCGATAGCTGGCACCCTATGCTGTTACAACCCTTTTTATAGTTAACTTGTTGACAAACGTTTAGTCTTCTTGTCCTACAAAACTTTAACTCCTAGGTCTCCAATATAAAACTACAAGTAACCACAGTACATGTAAGATAGGGAATGAAAACCTGTCACGCACTCCAAGAGACACTGGTCCATTGCATTGGGGCAAACACAGCAGCTCAGAGGAAATGGCCATCCCCTCGGGTGGACAGCTGATTCAGATGTTTTGCACTAAAATGTAGGCATGAAGTCCCTCCTGCAGTCTTTATCTCAGAGCAGCAATAATTTAAAATCAGTGTGACAGTAGGAGCAAATCCTTCTAGGCTTTGTGCTGTGAGATGCTAAGTAGCGGGCCCCACCCCCACACATGTGGTGAGCGGCAGGGCTCCGGTCACTATGTACATTAGATAGGAACACTGTCAGGTGGAAGTGCCAATATGACTTACTGCTTAGAACTGTGCTAACATCGACACCTTTGTTAGGCTGATTTCTCACATGAGAAGATTTTTACCTTAGTCAGAAAATTATATGAGGAACAGTAAGGAACTGAACTAAGGAAAAAGTTTCTAGCCTCCAAATCTACACACACACACACAAAAGCAAGTTTCAAATTATTGTCCTCTCAGTGCAAACGAGCAATTGGCTGACCTGTCACATATCATCAATTGATATGAACACAGCATTCAGTCTGTGGAACAATGTGATGCAGCAAAAACTTGATCTAATGCAAATCAAGCCTATTAACTAAAGCCCACAGGCAAGGAGAGACAGTCCAGCTCAGTGTTCTCCCGTGCTAGCGCCGACACTGAACACAAAAGCAACTGAAAGGCACAGGGCTCAGATTTCATTGATAGTCCTCTCTGAAGGGCAGTACTCTGAGGGGCCTGGTGAGGACATATAGAAAGACTGTGTTTTCCTTTTTAATCGGGCTCTTTTGTTGGCCAACACCAGGCTACGCCGACTTGAACTGATGATTTCCGAAATAAACTTTTTGCAGTCTACACACACCTCCATAGTACTCCAGTCCTCCATTAACTCTTTGGGAAACTGTAGTTCTTCATCTGATTTGTCCACAGACTTAGATTTTGAGGAGAACCTGGAATAAAACAAAACGTTTAAAAGATCCAGAATTATTACTCATAGTTGTATTGCAATACTAAAAAAAATAAGTGCAAAAAAAGAAAATTTGTTGCAAAAACATTATGGAATGGTGAGTGATTTAGTCATGTCATGTTCTTGCAAAGAATTTCTAAATGGAGAAAAGGTTCAAAATATTAAAAAAATAAACAAAAATCACATCATCTCACTTATATGTGGAATCTAACAAACAAAATAAACTGGTGAACAAGTAGGTCCAGAGCAGTGGTTCTCAACCTTCCTAATGCCGCGACCCTTTAATACAGTTCCTCATATTGTGGTGACCCCCAACCATAAAATTATTTTCGTTGCTACTTCTTAACTGTAATTTTGCTACTGTTATGAATCGTAATGTAAATATCTGATATGCAGGATGTATTTTCATTGTTACAAATTGAACATAATTAAAGCATAGTGATTAATCACAAAAACAATATGTAATTATATATGTGTTTTCCGATGGTCTTAAGCGACCCCTGTGAAAGGGTCGTTCGACCCCCAAAGAGGTCGCGACCCACAGGTTGGAGACCCACAGGTTGAGAAACGCTGGTCCAGAGACATGGAAGCACAGAACAGACTGACAGATCTCAGAGGGAAGTGGGGGATAGGGGGTGGGAAGAGATTAATCAAATAACGTATGTACATATATGCATAACCCATGAACACAGACAATAGTGCAGTGAAGGCCTGGGTGGGGCGGAGCTGGGTGGAGAGGGTAAAGGGAGGGAAAGAAACCAGGAAACATGTTTTATTAAGAAATAATACTGATTGGCGAGGATGTGGAGAAAAGGGAATCCTCATGCACTGTTGGTGGGAATGCAGATTGGTGCATTGTGGAAAGCAGTATGAAGTGTCCTCAAAACATTAAAAATGGAACTGCCTTATGATGCAGTGATTCTTCTTCTGGGAATTTATCCGAAGAAACCCAAAACTCTAATTCGAAAGAATATATACCCCTATTTCACTGCAGAGTTATTTATAATAGCCAAGCAAGATTTGGAAGCATCCCAAGTGCTCATCAGTAGATGAGTGGATGAAAAAGCTGTGCTATATTTACACAGTGGAATACTACTCTGCCTTGAAAAGGAAGAAAATTTTACTCTTTGTGACAGCATGAATGGACCTAGAGAACATTATACTAAGTGAAATTAACCACTCAGAGAAAGACAAGAACCATGTGATCTCACTCATATGTGGACTTTAATGAACAAACTGAACTAGCAAACAAAATAAATAAATTTTAGTTTGAGACCTTAGGTACCAAATGGTGGCTTGATTTAGTCATGGTGGCTAGACTATAAAGCTGGCCTGACCTCCTTCCACCTTACTTAAGGACCAGCACTAACCTTACTCTTACTCTGCATCAAATGCAAAGGGATTGATACTCAGGCAACTTTTTTTTTTCTTTTAAATTGCCAGCTCTTGGCATAAAGCTTCATTTCTGCCTTTACAATAGAAAACTAAATTGCAGACCATTGTAAACATAGGATTAAACAGATTTTCTTTCAAACTAAAGAAGGAAAGAAAGATTAAACTATTACATGCACGTTTTCAACTCCACTGAAAACAAGAACAGATTTAAAGATGACTTTTAAAGGACACACAAAAGTAATTATTTCTAAAGGGAACACACTGAATGGGAGAACATATTTGCCAATGATACATCTAATAAGGGGTTATCTCCGAAATATAAAATCAAAAAATGGGCAAAGGACTAAACAGACACCTCTCCAAAGAGGACATACAAATGGCCAAGAGACATGTGAAAAAATGCTCAATGTCACTAATCATCAGAGAGATGCAAATTAAAATGACAATGAGATACCACCTTACACCTGCCAGAATGGCTACCATCAATAAATCAACAAACAGCAAGCACTGGCAAGGATATGGAGAAAAAGGAACCCTAGTACCTTTTTCTGCTGGTGGGAATGCAGACTGGAAAACAGTGTGGAGTTTCCTCAAAAAATTAAAAATGGAACTGCCATTTGACCCAGTGATCCCTATTCTAGGAATATATCCTAAGAATTCCAAAACACCAATCAGAAAGTATATATGCACCCCTATGTTTATCGCAATGCTACTTATAATAGCTAAGATCTGAAAATAGCCCAAGTGCCCATCAGTAGATGAATGGATAAAAAACCTGTGGTACATTTACACAGTGGAATACTACACAGCTGTAAAAAAAGAAGAATCTCTTAACCTTTGAGACAACATGGAGGAACCTGGAGAGTATTATGCTAAATGAAAGAAGCCAGTCAGAGAAAGACAAGTAACACATGATCTTGCTTATATGTGGAATCTAATGAACAAAATAATCTGACAAACAAAATAGGTCCAGAGACATGGAAGCATTCAGTGGACTGGGGATTCTCAGAGGGAAGAAGGGAGGGAGGGAAGATATCAACCAAAGAACCTATATGCATCTATGCACAGCCCATGTATGCAGGCAGCAGTGGGGAGAGGAGGGTCAATGAAGGGGCAAAGGGGGGGTGGGTGGCTACAATACTTTCAATAATAAAGATACATTTAAAAAATACAATATAGGAAAAAGTAATTATTTTTAAAAAATAAACTATGAGAGTAAAGTATCCTTCAAGTAGCTAACCACTATCCCTTGACAAGTTACCTTTCGGAAGTTTTGAAGATTTGTGTGCAATTCAAAACTATATTAAAATCAACCAACCAACCAACCAACCCACCCACCCACCCAAACCCTCTGGAGCCAAAACCCTGCCACATCACCACAGTCCTCAAAAGGAGCATTCTTCTTTCCCAAAGAATGCTCTGAAGATCCAGGCCTCTTGCTCACCTGGCAATGCTCCGAAGTGGCCGCTGGTGGCTGGTGGAGGGTTTTTCTGGCCTCACAGAACTTTCCCCTCTTTGCGAGGCAGAAGGTCCCAATGAAAAGATTGGAAGAGTAGAGTATGGCTTGGATGGCAGCCGCATCTATTATCCCAAACAGAACTGAGAATGAGCAGTACTGTTAAAAAGGCAGTCTACTAAAATTACTATTACGTTATGATGTCACCAAGCGTAGCTTACCTTTTTGCAACACTGTGAGCACACGGGCCTGCATACAAAATCAAAAGTATTACTTAGCATGATGCCACAGATGTGACAGGAGAGTTAGAGAAGCCAACGGCTGCATGTTGTCAATTTCTACAATAAATTGCAAGAACTCTCTGGTTCTTCTATCAGAATATAACAAATTGATACAACTGTGGATTGCCAAAAAGATAATCAATCTGTAAAACTTAACTCTTACACTGTTTCCTATAGAAGGATCAACTTACATCTGTAATTTTCTTATTTGTCTATCCAAGGGTCATATGACAATCATACCTATTTTTTTTTCTGTTCAAAAATGACACATTATTATTAGAATGATCTTGGTTATGTAAAAGAAATAAATGCAGAGAAACATTTTCAAGGTCTAACACTAAATAATTGTTTGATCCACTCTTTTGAAGAAATCAGTATTCCTAACCCATAAACAAAGCACAATGTGATAATAGATTATTTTTAATGTTGTTTCTATGTAGAAAAATAATGAAACAATGAAGTTAACGGGTATTTCTTTGACTATTGTCATCAATTACAGAACTAACTGTCATCAATTAAAGAAACCTTACCTCTTACAGAACTGACAGGTATAAGACCAGGTGAAGAAGGAAAATCTCCTGGTTCGGCAACAAAAGCAAAGCTAAAAAATACAAATGTAAAAGGAGAAAAACAAAAAAAAACCATCGACAATAGTTAATTTCCTAATTTACATGGTTTAATACATTTTATATTTATACATTGGGGAAGTTTAGTACACAGAAGGAAGAGAATTCACAAACCCTGTTTTTATGTTTGGCTCTGTGATAATTATAACATGGCTCTGTATTTAATCTTATTCTACTTTTAAAAGGTAGTAAAAGGCCACAGCTCCCTAGAGTTGACCATCATGGAAGCAATTGGAAGAAGGTTCTAAAAAATTCTCCCCAGTATAATGACTAAATGCAGACATGGTTTTATGAAGGCATAACATTATTTATTATGGTTGTTTTAAACTCCCAGAGGTTTGATTTCTAAGGGAGAAAATATTCACTTTGGTGCGCAAGGCAGAACACGAACTGACTTCTGGAGAATAAGCCTCTTACCTCCTAAACTCCCCTAAAAGTCCTGCACCATCTGGCTAGCAGACAGCTCCCTCAGGAGACCATGCCTGTGACTGACCGTTCTGCTACCCCTGCTGATCAATCGACTTGAAACAGCTCTACCTTTCCTTTTTTCAGGGCAGTGTAGACATCTTTATATTGTTGGTATTTTTCCAGCTCTGCCTTCACCAGGACCTGACGAATATGCATCACCTCCTCCACAGTAAGAGCTAGGCATTCCACTGGGTAGCAGAATTCCTCCTGAAATTCAAAATTCCACATGAATAAGAAACTCCCACCCCCTTTTCCGGCTTTGCAAAATTTCCCACCAGATCAGACACCTGGTTAGTAGCTTCTGAGAAGAAAAGAGGTCCCAGTGAACACTGGAACAGAGCTGGCTTACTCTGGGTACCACATAATTTCTAATTATACCAAGATAACAGATGGCAGAAAATGTCTGGGGACCATGTGAAACACTATAGCTTACTGAAGTTTCCAAAAAAAAAAAAAAAAAAATGAAAGCCCCTCGCTATGTATCTATGCTGTGAAATCTTGAAAAAAAAATGTGTTATTCTATAACTAAATGTATGTCAGTTATCTCGTATGATTATGCAAAGACGTTATTTAGTGTTGTGTTGATACTATATGCTAATAGATAAATAGCAAATAAAAAACATTGGTACTATTTTTAAAACTGGTTGGTGGTACCCAGAATAGCCAAGAGAAGGTGGTTAGTAATTTATACTGAGAAGCACAGTGGTAAGTTACATCAGCACACCTTGAAAAATCCTAATGGCGTGAGTGGAGCTAGAACATTGGTGCAGTTTACAGCCAGAAGGCAATCTCTACTGCTCCACAGTTCTCCAGATTTCTATTATGACTTTTAAACAACTACTGAATGCAGAGTCAGCATTGGAAAGATGTGGGGAAAAATCAGAATAATTTCACAATAAATATTTATGTTGACTGTCTTATGTTAATAGTTTCCCCAAAAACAGCTGAGGAAGATGTTGATGTAACTGATCCCACTGAATAAAGAGCCTCACACCCATCTGCTCCCCATCCGGCCTGCTCTTGATTGGTGGATCCAATAGAAAGACAGAACAGTCTTGTGCATTCGCACCCTGCCAGGCCTCACAAGGGCCATTGTGGTGTAGTGACACTGAAACTTAGTGTTCTCAGTACAAACACATTATAATTCACTCCCACACACACAATAGCACTGGTCACAGGCATTCTGGAATCAAACAAGCCAAGTGGGAAAGCACATGACCATGAATGCAGTTTAACATTCAGTTCTGTCTTTCAATCAGAGAAAAACAAAAACAAATCTAGGTTGCAAACTTGACAAACATTAGCATTTACTAAAAAAAAAAAAAGTAGTTTGAAGAACTACGGATTCTTACTAACCGTCAATACCAAATCGTCTCTGTTCAAGCTAACTTAAGAAAGACTAAATTTGCTTAATTGTGTTTTGGAAAAAATCCTGCAATTGAATTTTTAAGATGAAGAACTTTGAATCTGGAGGCTGGGAAGATAGATTGTTCAGAGATTATATCATTTACTCTAAATGTCTAAAATACTTTTTAAAAAATCACCATCACATAATGTTCTCTTTCAATGGGAAAAGCTTTCAAAGACAATAAGGTTAAGCATGTTCAATATCTACTCTGTTTTGCTCCACCCTGAGAAAAGCGTAGTGTCAAATGGGACAAGGCACTGAGTCGGTGAAGGTTCGGACTTTAAGCTGCACTAGGTGAGTACTGTTGGCTGCGCACATCCGAATGACAGCTTTTCTGAGCTTTGAACGTACTTCATGGAACTTTTCCTATGGTAATTTTCATTCATCAGTTATACGTGTGACTGCAGTACATCTTCTGATAGCTAACTCTGTGACAAAACTGTTGACTTGGAACAAAATAATGTATAAGTCTAGCAAATAACTATATAATCTCTACTGAGATTTGTTGTTGTGCCCCCTAGAAAGATGGCAAATAGTGCCAATTTAATTAACTTTAAACTTGGACGCCTGGGCTGGTAAATATTTCTGGCAGACGGGATCCTTTTTCTCTGCAAGGGTTCACTAGCACATGCAATAAACCTGACAACCTGGACTGCTCTCTCCCTAGTCTTAAGTCACATAAGGGCTTAGTCGAGCAGACTTTCAACCTACTGCTTTGAACCACATGCAAATCCAGTACTTCACAAGGAAATAATAAGAAATTGTGGATTTTATTTGTGTTTCTTTTCTTTTAAAAAATTTCAAGTAGATTAGCCTTTAGTAAGATAATTTCCATCAGGACAAATGCTAATGTTTTAATTCTGGTGCTTTCCCAAGGACAACAAAACTTTAATGCAACATGAAAGAAAAAATAGAGTCACGAATACTTTTCACTTTAAAAAAATATTGGTTCAATATCCCCAAAGCCAAATTAAACCTAAACAGATCTTGCTGAGATACTAATGCTCCAAACATAAAGAGCACTTTCCCCACGGTGACAGTGGCTGGTCACTCCTACAGCAAGCACTAAGCTCATTTTCATGGTGGAACGTGGACTATATGGACTAGATCAGCACAACTCTAATTCTCCAGTTTCTTTGTACTTCAAAATGACTCTCAAATTTAGGAAAGGGAAGCTGAATCTTAAAGTGTTTTAATAATGATTACAATATGTTATAGATGCAGATGTGCCTTTAGAATTTACTTTTACGTACGTCACAAAGTTTTTGTTGAAGATTTTGGTTATTTTTACCATTCAAAACTGGTTAGAGCCCCACCAATGAGGCTCAATGGTTGAGCATTGACCTTTGAAACAGGAGATCATGGTTCAGTTTCAGGTCAGGGTACGTGCCCGGGTTGCAGCCCCAATAGGTGGCGTGTAGGAAGCAGCCAATCAATGATTCTTTCTCATCATTGATGTTTCTCTCTCTCTCTCCCCTTCTCCCTTCCTCTCTGAAATCAATAAAAATATATTTAAAAACAAACAAAACAAAACAAAAAACAGGTCAGAGTTCGGCAGCACAGAAATTAGAGAGCAAAATGTATAATTTGGTTACTGAGCCACAGAGAGAAATGGGAATAGTCATATTTTATATCATGCTATTATAAAAAGCTTCATAAGTAGCAGATACTTAAAAATTGTCCAAAATAATATTTGAGTTTTTAAACTAAATAAAAATAGCAACTACTAAATTTATTTGTTCTTTCCTTTTTTAAAGTTTAACTTTAAAACGCTAAGTGAATTCTTTGCCTAAAGTAATATGTGAATTTAGTATACATATATGTGTGTTTGGGGAGGATGAATAATAAAAATAAAAATGTTGAAAGATCTTCAATAATAGCAGTAGGAGTGACAGGAGTTAAAATGTCACTCCTGCACTTAACCATCTGCCCAAATGACAGATCTGAAAATAGGAAAAGGTCAGAGATTTATCTTATGTTTCATGACAAATAAACAGGGAAAGGGATTTGTTGTTTCTCATTCACATTCGCAGTTTCCTTTCTAAATCAAGGGTAATAAAGAATAACAAAGAAACCAGCTGCTGGCTCACTGGTTCAGTGAAGGCGTGTTTAGGAAATAAGGGACCCTGTGTCAGGTGCAACAGCGAGGCTGCCACCAACACTGGTCAGCAGCAGGCATCACACTGGGTGGGGAAGCCTCACGAGGTCCCAGGCTTTTCATTTCACTGGGGTTTGGAAATGATTGTACTTTCTTTTAAAAATACACTCTATGAAAACCTCAAAAATAATAATAAAATGCAAGATTACTTAAAATAGCTAAAATAACCAGAGCAATAAAAAGGAAACTTAAAGTTTCTCTTTACAGAGAAGGGGGCTATCATAAAACCCATATAACAGCCTGACCATCACAACACAGCTGTGTGAACGGTGCTGGGGACGAGGAGAGTCTGAGGTCAGGGGAACACGTGCGATGGGGGGCAGGGAGTGTGGGACACAGGCAGTGACAGGGCTCTGTGGGAGGCAGACTCTCCTCGGATGGCAGCGAGGCCCTGGGTGAAAGCACAGGCTCTCAGGGGGCTCCTGCCCCTGGAGACGGGGGCAGCATTCCTCCTGCTATAAAACTGGGTCACTCCAAGAGACAAACACTCACAGGTCCCTCGAATCTGATGCTGCATTTTGAGTTTGTTGTCCTTTCAAAGTTATTTTCCTCTCAACTGAGATCATAGTGTGATCTATGCATCCTACAAATGATTGGAATCAATGATCAGAAGCAAAGTGCCCATCTACGCTGTTAATTCTTGCAGAGTGCAGGAGTTCAGGTATTGCTGTCAGAGATAGAGCAAAATAATTCCCAGAACCAGCAGAAAGAGGCCAACCTTTGAGGATTTCCACCTGCTGGTAAGAGCTCTCTCACATAGATAATACATAGCCCCTGCTACCCCAAACATGGCTGCTTCAAAAGGATGAGAGCTGAGCAGAGAAGCTGTTTGTATGGTAGAAAAAAGTGGTCGGAAAGGCGTCCACGGCCATACACTGGTTATCCTAGGAACCTGAACAACAGATAAGGGGAAAAGAAAATGGCAGGGGGAAAAGAAAAGGAGAAAATAATGCTGAACGTGAATGACCTACAAATAGTGATTACAGAGCATGAAAGAAAAACAGAACAAAACAAAACCACCACAAAGGATGTTAATGGTAGATTCCATGCGTGTGTCCACACCAACATCTGCGCCCACATGTGTAAGTCGGCAATCAAATCACGAAGTCAATCCTAGAGAATCTCAAAGTTTATACAGCAAAGACCTGAACTTCAAATTTCCTAACAGGTTGTCTGGTGAACACTGAGTTTCCTAAACCAGGCTCGCTGGGATGCAGGACGGGGCAACTGCCGCTGTGCCAGCTGTGCTGGAGAGAGTGTGGGAGTGTTGCTCCCCTGGGGAAGGCTCTCAAGACAAGCAGCCTTTCGTTTAGATGGGCAATCACCTTCAATCATTTGACCAATGATGGACAAAAAAATTACATTTTAATACATCCTAAGGAAAGGGAGGGAGATACAATAAAAATAATAACAACAAAGACATTTCTGCCATTTTCAGTAGAGGGATTAGAAATACACAATGATTGTTTCCAAAATATAGCTAAGATTTTAAATGAGCATACTTTAAAAACAATACTTATCAAGCTAGAGGGTACTACACACAGAAGTGCGACTTGATGGATTTCCTGAGATAAGCTACCAGCAAGAAAAGTCATTACTTGACCCGGATGTTATTTCGTCTCAGCTGGTGCGTAGAGGTTCTTAGAGGGAATGTAGTTCTGTGTGGAACCTGAGCACCCAATGCAATGACTTTCACTGAGACCCTTAGTGATTGCAGACTGGTTTTACTTTGCTCTTTTCCCCACAGAAAAACCCAACTCACAGCCCGGCCACCACACTCTGAGAGTTCCCCTTTGCCAGGAAGTATACTTCATGGGCTCTTGATGTGGACTGATAGTCTTTCTTGGCAAAGCTGTTATTACTACCTGAAACTCCTTCATAGTTGATCTGATGGTTGATTGATAATTTTAAAATTTAAGTCTAACTTCAACAATGATGTCTTATGATATGATCACAAGGCAGGGACACACCTACAGGATAAACTGGCTTCTAGGAAAAGCCATGTGAACAGAAGAATCGCCTAATTATCAGACTTGTAAAAAATAACCACTAAGGACTTCCCTCTTACATGTTTTTTAAGTTGTGACAGTAACTGTATATTTTGCTAAAGCAGTAACTTGTTCATATTAACGAAAGTCTTCAGATTTTAAAGTTTGAACCTGTCTAGGTAGAGTTCTGTTTTCCTGCTATATTTAATCAAATATCAGTGTTTTGGTGACTATTTAAGAGGAATTCTGTCAAGAATTGCCATAAAATCATTAATTCTTTAGTTGTATCGTTTGGGAGCAGAGATGACTGATCAAATTTCAACATTGTAAGCTCTGTTCAAACTTAGTATCTTCACAATAACCACACTCTATTCCTCTACTTGGAATGATACATCACAGCCTAAAAATATGGACTAAGCATATTCCAGTTTATTCATGAGTATCTGAAAAAAACGTTAGATGCTGGGTTGCCAGTGGGACTACTGACTGAAGCCTTGCACCTTGCCTGCACACATTTCTGAAGTTAAGTGGGACTACGAAAGAATCTCTGCAGACCTCCTTTGGCTGGTGATCTACTCTTCCTGGCAGGGCCTTGTGTCCCACGTCCCACTGTTCTGAGAAACGAGAGGCCCCTACATGAATCCAAGTCTCTGGAAAACAGCAAAAACTGTCAACCAGTCCAAACAGCAGCTTTGGCTCCAAAATATACTTGGAAACAGTGAATAATGGCTTTCAGTGAATCAAAGTTTTCTCCTGGTACTTGTGCTTAATAAACTAGTCTACTGTAGCTAAACTTTGTTGTTTTCATTATTAGTTTTAACAATTTTTAAGTAGATTAATATCTTTTGAAAGGAAGAAAACATTTCTTTAACAATTCATACTTTCAACCATGGATGTCTTCTGGGGGGCAAAAAGGTACTTTAAATGAACAGAGAATGGCCAGCTTTCATTTAGGTTGCTGTTAGGGTTGGTTTTCTTTAGGTACTAAAAACAGGTTATTTAAAGTTCGTTCTAACCTTTGGAAGTTTTTTCTCCTAATCATCATCTCAAGAAAGCTAACGATTCTAGGTCCCCTACCTGACCCTGCAGTTACTATGCAGTGTTTCCGTTACTTACAAGAGACCGGGAGCTCTGCTTGGACGGTGGCAGAAACTGTCTCACGTTGGTGGGCGTTTCCTTTTCAATGGAATGCCGTCTCTGGGGAGGCTGCCGTCTCTCTGGCTGGGGGGTTGATGATATGGGCAAGAATTTCGGAGGTGCTAGAGAAATGAATTAACTAAGTTAAAATGAATTTTCTTACTGTGAGGGCTGTTATAGAAGAATCTTTGCAAGATAAACTTGCTACAGAAATTGCAAGGAAAAAGCAAAAAATATTCAAATTCCTACCTAGAAATACAATATAAGTACAGTCTCAAATCTGTACATACAAATGCCCTCATGTTGTTTTCCACAGAATTTTGCAATTAAAGAGTTCAGGCATTATTCAACAAATCATGTAAAATGCGCATTTTGTATATCTAAAAGTCTCCCAAATCAAACCAAAATGCTTTAAAAAATATTTTTATTTTCCAATATTATTCTGTGTTAGTTTCAGATATACAGCATAGTGGTTAAACAATCATGCACTTTACAGAGCGACATTAACAAAGTTCTAGTCTTCCTTCCTTGGCATGCATAGCCACTCTCTAATTTTCCCTGATATGCAGCTGCTTTTGAATGTCCTAATGTATAATGTCTGGCTCTCAAAGGGGGAAAAAAACAGAAAAATGAAAGAAGGGGGTGCCGGCCTTTAGAAGCTTTGGGAGTCCCTGGAGCTGGCAGAGGGTAGCTAGCAGGAACGCAACAATGGCTGCCCACCTCTGGAGCCAGAGGCAGCCACCAGGCACAGCACTTGGTGACAGGTCCTTTTGGTCCACCCTGGCTAACGCGAGCTTTGTGCAAGCTGCTCCAGAAGAAGCAGCACACAACGGTCTGCCAGGGGCTGGGCGTAGAGGATGAGTAGCTGGTTCTATGCTGATAGCTGACTAGAATTAACCACAATTTACTACCCAAATCTTCCCCTGGAAGTTGCAAGCCTTCAACAGACTCGAGAGTTCCAAAAGAGAGCAAAGTCTGCCAGAGCAACTGTTGTCTGGAGCTACCTACTCCCTCCATCTTCCCAGAATCTTCTTCCTTAATATAAAAATTTTAATCCTTTATAAAATCTTATAAATAAAAATGTAATAAAAGCATTTAGAAGTCACTTAACCTTCTATTCTAAAATTATAAATTGCTTTTACTATTTACACATGTCCTGTGGGTATGAATATATAGATATGGAACATGTGTATATGTGTGTGGAGGGTAATAACAAGTGTGATTATTGGACTTCTTGCGTAAATTCAGGCAAGGAGGTAATTAATATAAAAAACACACACAGACAACTGACTTATTTCCTAGAACTGTTATCTGTAAACCCAAAGGTGACTGATCTAAGTTAAAAACCTGAATCCTGCTATTAGTTTAGCCTTACCTTAAATGTCACTCTAGGAATATACTGAATATTTTTGTTTTTGACTAGTGAAGTTCCAGGCTTAGTTCTTTATACCCCAAATAATTACAAGGCACTTTGGGATCCCCTACTCGAGGACAAGTGTGTTTTTAAGCTGTCTGATGCTAGTTCTTTGTGCCACAAATACTTACTCTTCCTTGTGGACACAGCCTCCAGGAATGGATCTTCAAGGAAGGAGGGAGACACACTGCTGCTGCTGGCTGACTTGTGCAGAGTCTCTTCCTGGGAAAGGAAAGAACAGAGAAATAGTGAGATTCCCTAGACTAATTAATAACATTTTACTGTTAGTGCTCTCCTGCTAAGTAATAACATTTTGCTATTAAATATTTATTTTAACACGAGACACCAAATTATAATGTAAAAAAAAAAAATCAAAGGAAGTAGAAGATGAACTAGACAGGATCTAAAATTAGATATTTTGGGTTTGTGTCCCAGCTTTGTCCCTTATTAGAGTGATGTGACATTTTGCAAGCTTCTTATCTTAATGTCATCATTTGTTTTTTTTAAAATAAATTTTTATTTTTCAATTACAGTTGACATACAATATCATATTAGATTCAGGTGTACAACACAGTAATTAGATTTATAACTTATGAAGTGATCACCCCGATAAATCTAGTACCCACCAGGCATTATACATAGTTATTACAATATTATTGACTATATTCCCTATACTGTACTTTACATCCCTGTGACTTTGTAACTATCAATTTGTATTTCTTAACCCCTTACTTTTTTCACCCAGCCCTCAACCTGCTTCTCACCTGGCAACCATTAAAATGTTCTCTGTAGCCCTACCGGGTTTGGCTCAGTGGATAGAGCTTCAGCCTGCAGACTGAAAGGTCCCAGGTTCCATTACGGTCAAGGGCATGTACCTTGGTTGCGGGCACATCCCCAGTAGGGGGTGTGTAGGAGGCAGCTGATCGATGTTTCTCTCTCATCGATGTTTCTAACTCTTTATCTCTCTCTCCCTTCCTCTCTGTAAAAAAATCAATAAAATATATTAAAATAAAATAAAGTGTTCTCTGTATCTATGAGTTTGATTTTCTTTTTGTTTGGTCGTTTGTTTTTCTGAGTCCACATGTAAGTGACACCACATGGCATTTGTCTTCCTCTGTCTGACTTATTTTCCTGAGCACAATACCTCTAGGTCCATCCACACTGTTGCAGATGGCAAGATTTCCTTCTTTTGTGGGGCTGAGTCAGACTCCATTGTATATATGTACCACTTCTTTATCCATTCATCTACTGATGGATACTTAGCTTGCTTACATATTTTGGCTATTGTAAATAATGTGGCAATGAACATGTGGGTATATATGTCTTTTCATATTAGAGTTTTGGGTTTCTTCAGATAAATACCAAGAAGTGAAACTGCTGGGTCCCTCTTTGTCTCTTGTTATAGTCTTTGTTTTAAAGTTTATTTTGTCTGGTTATAAGTATTGCTACCCCAGGTTTTTTGTTTGTTTTTTTCCATTTTCATGAAATATCTTTTTCCATTCCTTTACTGTCAGTCTGTGTGTGTCATCTGAAGTGAATCTCTTGTACACAGCATATGTAAGGTGTGTATTTTTTTATCCATTCAGCCACCTTACACCTTTTGATTAAATGCTTTAATCCATTTACATCTAAAGTAATTGCTGACAGATATGTAGTAATTGTATTTGATTATTTATATTTTTTATTCCTCTTTTAACTCCTCATGCTCCCCTTTCCTCTCCTCCTCCAAGAAGTCCCTTTAACATTTCTGTAATACTGGTTTGGTGCTGATGAACTCCCTTAGCTTTTTCTTGTCTGGGAAAATCTTTATCTCTCTTTTAATTTTAAATGATAGCTTTGCTGGGTAGAGTAATCTTAGTTGTAAGTTCCTTCTTTGAATATTTCATGCCAATCCCTTCTGGCCTGCACATTTTCTGTTGACAAATTAGCTGACAGTCTTAGGGGAGTCCCCTTGTAGGTAACATTGCTTTTCTCTTGCTGCTTTTAAGATCCTTGTCTTTAACCTTTGCCATTTTTTTAAAATTGATTTTTAGAGAGGGACAAAGGAAGAGAGAGAGAAATATCAATGGTAAGAGAGACACATTGAACAGCGCCATATGCGCACAAACTGGGGATCGAACTGGTAACCTAGGCATGTGCCCTGGCCAGGAATTTAATCCATGACATTCCAGTGCATGGGATAATGCTCCAAGCACTGAGCTACACTGGCCAGGGCAACCTTTACCATTTTAATTATGATGTGCCTTGGGGTGAGCCCGTTTGGCTTCATCTTGCATGGGACTCTCTCTGCTTCCTGGACTTGTATATCTATTTCCTTTGATAGGTAGGGAAGTTTTCTTTAAATAGGTTTTCAATTCCTTGATCTTTCTTTTCTACTTCTGGTACCCCTATGATACAAATGTTACTAAGTTCAATATTATTCTAGAGCAGCGGTTCTCAACCTGTGGGCCGCGACCCCTTTGGGGGTCGAACGACCCTTTCACAGGGGTCGCCTAAGACCATCGGAAAACACATATATAATTACATATTGTTTTTGTGATTAATCACTATGCTTTAATTATGTTCAATTTGTAACAATGAAAATACATCCTGCATATCAGATATTTACATTACAATTCATAACAGTAGCAAAATTAGTTATGAAGTAGCAACGAAAATAATTTTATGGTTGGGGGTCACCACAACATGAGGAACTGTATTAAAGGGTCACGGCATTCGGAAGGTTGAGAACCGCTGTTCTAGAGGCCCTTTAAACTATCCTCATTTTTTTAAATTTCTTTTTTGCTGTTCTAATTGGGTGTTTTCTGCCACCTCACTTTCCAAATCACTGATTCGATCCTCTGCTTCATTTAATCTACCATTGATTCCCTCTAATATATTATTCTTCATTTGTTATTGTGTTCTTCACTTCTGACTGATTCTTTTTTAAGTTTTCTATCTCCATTTTTTGGTTTCCTATCTCTTTGTTAAAATTCTCACTAAATTCATATACTCTTCCTCTAAGTTAACTGAACATCCTTAAAACCAATGTTTTGAATTCTGCATCTGACAGATTGCTTGTCTCCATTTTTTTGGTTCTTTTTCTGGAGTTTTGCTCTGTTCTTCATTTGGGACGTGTTTGTCTCCTCACTGTGACAGCCTCCCTGTGGTTGTTCTATGCATTAGGTAGAGCTGCAACATCTCCTGGTCTTGGTAGAGAGGCCTTATGTAGTAGGTGTTCTATGGGCCCAGTAGCACAGTCTCCCTCGTCACCTGAGCCGCGTCTCCAGCTGGGTCCCTCATGTGGGGTGTATGTGCCCCTTTACTGTAGTTGAGCCTTGAGGCATGTCAATGGAAGGGATTGATCCTCAGGCTGATTGGTTGTGAGGACTGGCCATGACTGTAGTGAAGGAGCAGCTGTGCAGGGGCTGACCCTATGGAGCTAGATTCACTTTAGCGGGGCCCTGATGCCGGCGAATCTGCCATTTGGGTGTGGTGTTTGTTGAGGTGGTTGTGTGATGCTCTGGTTGTGGTCTGGAAGCTGACCACTGGGTGCAATGGTTCTGGGGCCTCTTGGGTGGTGGAGGCCAAAATTAGCCACTGCCCGTGCCTTGCCTGGGGCCACATGGTGTGAGCTACAAAGGGATGTCCAGATGGATGCCACTCGTGCTGGGCTTGGAGGTACCGGCACTCTAACTACTGAACTCACCAGCCAGGGCAGTTTAGTTGTAATTTTGATGTGGTCATGGGAGGAGGCAAGTACAGCACTTACCTACTCTACCCATCTTGAACAGAACTCTTAGTTTCATCATTTTTAGAAGAGGGTATATATTGCCCTGGCCAGTGCTGCTCAGTTGGTTGGGCACTGTCCTGTGCACCAAAAGGTGCCGGTTTGGTTCCCGGTCAGGGCACATGTCCGGGTTGTGGGCTCGATCCCCAGTGGAGGGCATACAGCAGGAGGCAGCAGATCGATGTTTCTCTCTCACATTGATGTTTCTCTCTCTCTCTCTTCCTTCCTCTCTATCTAAAAATCAATAAAAATATATATTTTTTAAAATAAGAGGGTATATAATACCATCTTGCCTAGTATTATTGGAAAGATCAAATGAGATACTGCATTCTAAAAGCTTAACACATTACCTGGTCTATAATAAATGGTGGTTAATATTTTTATTAGGGGGATATTTAACACATTTATAACAGTAATAGACTGGGAACCCCACGAGGCTAGAGGCCATGTGTCTTACTCATTGCTATTACCTAGTATCAAATCCATCACTTAGTATATAATGAATAAACATTTTTTGAATAAATGGATGAAAATAAACATTCCATGAAATGCCATGATTGTAGAAAAGTGTCTACATTGTGCCAAATAAAATTTAAATTTCCATTACCAGTGAGAAAAGATCTTATTGGTTTATACTATACCAAAATGAAGTACAATACTTATTCATAAAAAATTTATTATCTACTCTATGATTGGGAATACACATTAACTATAAGGCAATTTATTTCCATAATATCTATAGTAAACTGATAAATACTTTTAAATATAGAAGAAAATCAGGTTAATATAGTAATCTATGATTATGTAAGACAAATAGTTAATGAAAATTCTTAGACCTACTTAGTTAAGGTGACTTTAAGAATTAGCCATTCACTAAAAATTGGCCTCACCTAAAACCTACTGCTGAAAGCATTAGTTTCAAACAAGTTACAATTCAAAGGATCTTATCGAAGAACAGAAGAAAACAAGACTGTGTAAACCACACGGTTCAAACAAAGAAGGCTGGGACAGTGACCTCCACGCTCTTGATACCATGAAAAACAAATCAAGCCATGTAAACAAATCTTCAACCTCAGAGTCATACAAATCTCCAGAAAAGCTATCAAACAACTAGCATGACCTCCTTCTGCTTATGGAAGGTCAAAAGGAAATAAAAGTCAAGAGTTTTTCTTAGGAAACGAAAAAAAAAAAAAGTCATTACAGCACTTTCCAAATAATTATGAGGTGGGTGCTACCCTGATTTAAACAGCAGAAATCAGCCCCCTGCCTCACATACTTCAGCCCACCTTCCCAAGAAACATTTTTAAAGCCTAATTTCACAGAACTCAGAGGTATGTCCACACCTTTCACCCTCCTCTTCTTTACGGATTTGAATTCTCCCACTATGAACAGCCAACCTGTCCTAGGGCAGGTGGGGTAAATACAAGCCAGTTTGTAGGAGACAGAAAAAAATGTGGGGATGCTGACCAAAACATATTTCTAGAAATAGTTTGAGAAACAGTTCAAAGCAAAAATGTAGCATAGTTACAATAGTTTTGTTATTTATAATTCCCAAATAAGGGACTGGTTAAATAAAATATGGTAAACTATTATGAAGGAATACCACACAGATATTAGGCATCATGTTGGAAAAGGTTATTTAATGAGATGGGGAAATGCTCATGATATATATATATATTTTTTTTAATAAAAACCACGGGTTAGTTCTACTTCTGGCAAAATGACAGGTTAGATAACCTATTTCTAAGGTCGAAAGTGGTTTCTGGGGCCAAGTTTAACAAATGGCCAAGTTTAATAACTAGGGAACTTTCAAAAGCTTGCAGTTAATGCTTATTATTTATTATTTAACTATTATTATTTAAATGTACAAAGCTGCCAGATAAGTCTTAAGAGATCTCAACAGACTGTCGAATCTCAGAGAAAAAGGGAGGGATCTGTGTTTTCTAAATGTTAAAGTTTAACATTTAGATATTTTAAAATTATATTTAGAAGTTTTAAAATTCTATATTCAGAAGAAAGGAACATAATAAGTATGTTCATTTAGTACACTTTTGACTAGTCTATCTTTAGTACTTAAAAATATCAATTTTAATTTGAAGAGGAAGGGAGAAAATGCTTAGTTCCAGGCCAGTGTCTAAGAACATTCACTTGTTCCATGAGTCTGAGACTTCCACTACCACTGACTAAGAAACCATGGCTCATCCAGGCTTAACTCAGCAGCCAGCAACAACGGTCTGAGTTAGCTGAAACCCCGCTCTAACACATCTCTTTTCAGCACCTTCTTGCTTTCTAATTTTTATTGTTAAAAGTATTACCTATGTCCCCCTTCTCTCCCCCCACTCCCTCCAGTCCACTCCCGCCCCCCACCCCAGGCCCTCATCACCCCACTGTCTGTGTCCATGGGTTATGCCTATATGCATAAAATCAGCACCTCATTTCTTGCTTCATATTTGAACTGATGATGAGTAGATGCTCAAAAATGGCCTCCCTCTGGTTAAAAGAATTGTATCTAGCAAATCATCTCAAGATTTGGATTTGGGACGCTAGCAGATCTTCAAAAAAAGGACAACCGAGAAGACTGTAGAGGCTGCCCATTTATCTTATGATGGCCAGGTACATAGCCTTGCCTCAAGAGATGAGTGGAGGAGGAAAAGAAAAGTTGTTAAAAATGGGTCAGTAGGTGAAGGAGGAGCACCCCTTGTCCTTCAGACCAGTGCTGTCCCACAGAGCTCCGCTGAGGGTGGCACTGTGGTCTGTGCCATCCAGTATGGCCACCACCAGCCACATGTGGCCACTGAGCACTTAAGAACTGGAACTGGAGAGTTTTAAATTTACTTAATTTTAATACATTTTAAATTTCAACAGTCACAGCGATTAGTGGTTACTATAGTGAACAGTACAGAGCTAGACAGTCTTTTAATTTCAATTGCTGTTCTCACAGGTTAGTATGAATTTATCTCAATATGCGAGTGTCTACTGGGTGTTAAGAACTGAGGATATAAAGTGAATTCAGCACAGTCCCTCTTCTGAGGGAGCTTGCCCTCTGGTGGGAGAGAGAAATACATGGGTTATGATACTACAGTGTTAAGTCACCTTACGTAACAGAGAGAAGGGATGATTATTATTGGAACCACAGAGAAGGGGGGCCTAATCGGTTAGGGGTGTCGGGAAAAAGAGAAGGCAAGGTATGTGCTGACAGTTAAAGGATAAACAGGAGTTAGGAATGAGGGTAGACTGCAGACACACTAAGCACAGAGCTGAGGAAGGAGGGAATGTGCAGGGAAGAACAAATGGCTGAGTGTGGCTGAAGTGTAGACTGAGGCAGGGAGTGGTGGCACAGGCATCAGATCACCAGGCTTATTTGGGGACATGAACTTAATCCTGTAAGTGGCGAGGAGCCTTCAAAAGGTGTCAAGCAGGAGGGATGTCAGATGGAATTGGGAAGGCTAGGAAGGAGGAAGGTAAGAGGGGCCTGAAGAGAGACAGCATTTGTGACAGTGTGCACTGAAGTCAGGCAGCAGTAAGGATAGTTCTTTATTATTTTTAATGTTTGAAAAACATTTAGTAACAAAATTGTTATTATTGGTATCTTCTGGGTTAGGGGTGGAGACTGATGAGAGGGGAATTAAAGAATAACGCCTTAAATTCTACCCTGGATGAATGTGGAGAGGGTAGAGCCAGCAACAACATTAGCAAACAGAAGATGAGAAGCTGGCTGTGTGTGTTGTTGGTGTGGTGGGGGGTCCGGGGGGTGGGGCCAGGAGGAAGGGGGGCAAGATTATGATTTCATTTTACACATGTCGGTTTTGAGGATGGAGCAGAGGAGATATACAATACTGATGCTGCAGATAGGACTGAGAGATGTGGGAAGCATCAGCAACAGCATCCTTCCTGTTTCTTAAAAACAAGGATGTTAGATCTTGCCCAGAGGGCAGCAGTGAATGATGAACTCTGGAGAACACTGGCAGTTTTCTTTCCGAGGCCTGCCTGATGTTATCACAGAAAGGACAACCTTCAGTGGGGATGTGTCAGTGTGTGCGTATTTCAGCGAGAGAAGTAAATGGATGATTGTTCTACAGTGTTAAGTGTTTTTAGTGGAAATATGTCTTTCTTTTCCCTTCCTCCATATAAAAGGTATTTAAGATGATGTAAGTCTAATAATTGTTGACTTATTTTAACCCCATCGTAATCTAAGACTGTATCAATATTTTAAAACTTATTCTACATACTATGGTCATTATGTTGATCTTTACTAAGTGACAGCGAATAATCCTCTGTTTTATTTCCTGCTAAACCAATCAATTTTAATCCTAACTTTATTGCTTGAAAAATGGGGAGGTCAGCGAGTGTTAGCATCCTGAACTCGGAGTCAAGCTTTGTGAACCAGGGCCTCGCGGAACCTCACCTCGGAGTCAGAGCTGTCCAGTTCAGACAGAGTCGGAGCTTTCAGGAGCCTCTTCCGCTGCACAGGCACCTGCTGCGCAGCATTTAGCCCATTTTCTTTTCTTTGTGATGTTAAACCTCCATTCACCACTGATGATTCCGCAGTGCTCTTTGGAGATTCAGGGGTAGTTACATCTGGTAAGAGAAAGAAGAAAGCTCACCTTTTCTTGAGCTAAGAAAGGTAATCAGTGGACAAAACACACTTCCCCAAGTACCTGCACTCAGAAACACACACCAGTGACATAGCATTCCCATGTCACACAAATACAGCACAGCAGCTTGATACACCTATGTATACAAAACATTTTTGTTAGATATTAACTGTCGAATTCAACTGAAGAAAACCTTTAACTAATGATATATTCACATTTATAGGTTAAAATTTAGAGCTAAGAGAAGTTCTACAGATAACTGACTCAACTTCTTCATTTTCCGGAGGCTCAGAAAGGCTAGTTTTACTTTACAGACTCTAAAAGAGCTAGTGATGGGTGGATCAAAGTGATGGCATGCATGAAGCCTAAGTAAGTGTACGGTTGTCAGGTATGAACATCGCTTGATTTAAAATAGCTAATAACCCATATTCATATAAACATGAACACAAAGAATCTGGGATACAATCCCTCTGATAAAGCTGACTTAGTTTATTCAGCGCTCCAATCTGGATGGGAAAGCAACGTAACAAATTAAAGAAATGCAGGGTACAGAGCAGAGCACAGAGTATACAGTACAGTAAGATGCAGATGGCTCTGCTCAAAGTCAAGCTCTGCTGCTAGTTACCTAACCTCCTGTTACCTCATCTATAAAATGGGCTAACAACAGACATGAGTTTGTTGTGAGGATTAAATAAGTTAACAACTGTACTAGTATATAAAATACTTAATGCTGTGTGTATTACAGGCAGTTCACCATGAATGTAAGCAATTAATAACACCGATTTGTATCTACATTAGCAAGTAAGTAAGCTAAGGATCAGAGTGATTTAGCCAGTCACACAGCTGGTGTGTGGCGGAAACTTGAATCCTAGTCAGTACCGATTCTAAAGTCCACTTTTTTTTTTCTCACTGTAGCCTGGAATTCTCCAATGCAAGTGGAACCACTTTCCCCCAGTATTTCAAATGAATTGTTAAACATCAACGTTTAATAACTAACTACCAAATTAGAGTATTTAAAGATGGGAAAAAGCAGTCACTGTATAATTTAAGTTCCAGGTCAGCACCATGAGCAGGTCTGTGCACATGGAACAGTCTGAAGTCCCTGTAGTTGGGGGTAAGGGTACACTAAGCTAAAAAGACATGCTTCAAGCTCCTTTATGAGGGGAAAGCACTGTAACTGGTTATTATAAAATTAAGAATCAGTAGTTTCCCCCAACGCATAATATTTATATGCTTGAAGTTTAAGAAGTGGATTTCCAGGAAAGATTAAGTATATAAATGTGTTCTAGTACAGCCTTCTATAACATTATCTGACTTAATATTTACAATTTCTGTTTATTTTGAGAGATCAAGAAGGCCAGAGAACACTCCCTTGTGAACTAGAAGAAAGGTTTGAGTAAGCTAGGAAGGATGGAGGAAAGGAAAAAGGAAGGAAGAAGACAGACATACCATCCATTAATCATTTACCAGTTTACATAAAATTTCTAATAGAAATTTTGACAACACGTGCATTACTTTTGTTATGTTTCCAGGTATTAAGTAGCTAGAACAAATAAATAAGTAGGGAAGGAGGTATGCTGAAGGGGACAAAAGGGTAAAAGCAGCTAGTTTTTACACACATTATAATGGTTAAAGTCTTCAAATACAGCTTTAATAAGGAGGTGTAGAGAGTGGTAGGCTGCCACACTTAGGAGTAATTTCAAAGTTTTCTAGAAAGCAAAGGAGGAAATGATTGGGCTGATTAATTCCTAGTCAAGAAAAAAGGTAGTGCTTAAATATGGTCTTGAAGTATATATACATATTTTTAAATTTCTTTCTTTTTTTTTTTCAGAGAGAAAAGGAGGAGAGACATAGAAACATCAATAATAAAAGAGAATTACTGATTGGCTACCTCCTGCATGCCCCCTACTGGGATTGAACCTGCAATCCAGGCATGTGCCCTTGACCAGAATCGAAGCAGGGACCCTTCGGTTAGCAGGCCAATGCTTTATCCACTGAGTCAAACCGGCTAGGGCAGAAATACATATTTTTAAAAACCTGATTCTATAGTGTATCTCATTTCATACCCTTCCTATGGAATTGTTCATGTTGTTGTACTAGTTAGTCTTTCAAGAGAAAGCACAAAGTTAAAATTGCACACTCTTTCATCCCTCTTAACTACCCATATTTCAATCGAGGCTCCCAAATTGGAGGTATAGTGAGAACGCAGCGCAGTCAGCTTCCCAAGGCAGGTCTCACATTCCCAATCTATCAGGTCAGGTGAGACCACTTAGGAGTGCCTGGAGGGACACTGAAACAGTTTTAGTGGTTATATATTTACTTCAATGTTTAAAAAAATACTTTATCAGATGCATGATTTTATGGATGTTTTTGCTTAAGATATTTAAGTCATTCATGATAGATTTAAAAAACTTAAAATAATACCTGGTAGCACTTAAGTCTGGCAAAAATCATGAGGGTGGTATCTGAACTGAAGCTTAGGAAACACTGTTAAGTGATAAGGGCTGCCATGAGTTCATTTCACTCTCAAGGCAGGGATTTGAGAAATTACCCATTAGCTCTCTAACTGCCTAAACACTGTGCTATGAGACTGATACAGTTCACTGACTAAAACTACTAAAATAAACATCTTGTACTAAATTGAAGGCTTTGAGATAAATAAGATTAATAAAAAATATGCTATGTAACAGTAAGGTTTCAGAATGATCTCCACATATAAGACTAAATACTGTGTGTGATTTCATCTCATATTTCATATTTCTAAAAGACTCAGTTAAACATATTTTTAAGAGATGTTTTTAAGTAGTTTGATTACTTATACTCTTCTGTTCAAATAAATAAATCCTCATTACTTTAGTGTTAGAAAACCAAACACTTAGATAAAACTTTGTACTTCTACATAAGACAGAATTTCTTGAGGAAAACAACTGATATTTATAACTAAACAAAATATTTAAGATGCTAGATATGGCTTTGAAAGTCATATATCTCAGGTTCAGTGCATGGCCATGATATTGAATACTTTATTATAATAACTTTATGTGTATTAGATACACCCAGTTGCTGCCTTACTTAGTTGGAGGAAATATAACTGGGATACAGATTACATATTTAATATTTGCATTGCAAAAATAAATTATACTTACCTTAATTAATGTTGAATAGATTAAAATTTTCCAACTAGGATTAATATTTCTAAGATATACCTAAGCAACAGAATATACTTTATGTCTTATTCTACACTTGAGTTCAGGGGAATTATTTACATGTTTCAATATTTACTCCTTAGTTTTCCAACTTGGCATTAGGTTAAAGAATGGATCCATCTTTTCCATTTATAATTTTTTAAATATTGATCTTAGAGAGAGGGAAGGAAGGAGAGAGAAAGGGCAACATCAATGTGAGAGAGAACATCGATTGGTTGCCTTCTGTATATGCCCTGACCAGGGACTGAACCCGCAACCTAGGTATATGCCCTGACTGGGAATCGAATCCACCACCTTTTGGTGTATAGGACAATGCTCCAACCAGCTAAGCCACCCAGTCAGGGCCCATTTATAATTTGTCAAGATGCAACAATGAAAACATAAAAGTAGCACAAGAAACGTTCTTGTAGAAATCATGAAGTATATACACTAAATTATGAAGTAAACTATAGCAATGAGCAGTGAAAGCACATAAAAACTTTTTGTTACTCGTTTATATCAAGGAGGTCAACTACCAATATCTTTCTTCCCAATACACAACCCATCATATAACCTATAAGAACCCAAAATACACCTATATATAATATGTGTAGGCATGCATAATGTCTAGACCAGTCCACCTGTGCTTAATTGTGTTAGCCAATAGTCAATGTGTTTAAGTAGCCAGCCACTCTCATACAGTCCAACTGATGGAAACATCTTTAGTAGATATTTAGAAGCGGTAGAGTGTCTGTAATATATACTGCCAACTTTTACGAGACTGGTAGTAACTTATATATTCCAAAACATTTCTGAGTTTATTTTCCAGAACAAAATTTTTTATAAGGTTACTCTGCAAATGGTTGGTAAAATAAAAATTTTCAAGCAGATAAAAGAAAATAGAAAAGCTCTTTAGTGGTCAGTCAAAAGAAGTAAGTGAAGAATGTAAATTATTTATTTGAATTTCTTAAAAGCACAAATATTAGTCATGTCTGAGACCTACAAATATAAAAAAGAAGTTTAAAAAACAGTTAGGAACTAGGTTAGCAGTTGAAAGATACTCAGTAAATAGTCATAAACAGAATATAATACTAGAACTCTCTGGCTCTTTAAATATGAATTTGTATTTAATATATGCCAACAAATCCATGGCATATAAAAGAAAATTCTGGAAGAAAATATTAGTCCCAACATCTTATCTCATTTTATGTTCAAAACGACAGCTTCCGAAATTAAAAATTCTAACTTGCAAAATAATTTACGAGGATTAAGTTGGCTTGGAAACTTCGCTCATATATAGTTTAAAAAGAGGACTGATTTTACAGGTCACATTTACTCATTAATAGTTGTTTGTTTCACTATTAATCCCTGTCTACTTAACAGGAGGGGTCTAAACTTGTACAACAAACCCGGGATCCTATTTTACAACCAAAGCCATTCCGTGCTTTTCTGTTTTCATACTGTTAATGAGCACTCAGAACTGTTTGTGACTTGGCCTTTCTACAGGGAGCAGAGAGATACAAGTTCTTGTCTATCAACTGAGAAGCGGCAGTTCTCTGAAGTAGCTGACAGTTTTCAGTTTAGCTACTTAAATGCTTTAGAGAATAAGCAGTGTCAAAACTTTGTTTCTTGAAAGGTTTTTTTCTAGTCTCTTAAAGCAAAGTTCTGCTGTAGACTGTGACATCACTGCTTTAGAAGACTGTGGGTGAGTGAGAGTCCATAAGGATCGGCAGCCACGGTCCATAACCGTAGGTGTGGTGTAATGGTTCTTCCATACCCCTTGGTAGGCAACAGATTTATTGCAGTTTTACTTTTTAAAAAGTATAAGCAGAAAGTATTATTTTACTGACCACAGCTTAGAAGAAGCCTTTCAATTTTCTTTTTTGACATGTTTGAACAAGCAGATGAATGAAATGTATTTCACAGAAACCACAAAACCCACGTCAGGTGTGAAAGCATTTTTTTTTTTTACCTGACAAGTCAAAACTGTAAGACATGCTAAGTGGCCGCACTGCTGAAAAAAAGAAAACAAACAATAAAAAGAAAATAATTCAGCTGTTAGAAACATACAGGGAGGACAAAAAAGAGGGGAAAATTCGAGAAGACCTGGAGTGGCACATTTCAGACTGTAAGGCAGAAGGCAGTGAATAAAAATCTAAAATATAATGAAACTGTGAATCTTAGTTTCAATTCTATCACTCAGACTTCAAATGAAGTAACATTAAAAGAAGAAAATAACTTTTTAAAGAACATGTTAAAAATAAGCATGATAAAGACAAAAATTTTAAAGAACCATAGTACTACAGAATTTTTTACTTCAACATAACATCAAAAGAAAAAAATAGCCATTTTAAAAAACAGTTTTACAGAACATACAAAATCTTTAAAATTTAAAGATAAATGTGTTATTAAATAATTTATTTCAGGGTGAAAATTTGGCTCTCTGTATATAGGTGAAACATTTTATATGAAGTCTCATTTAGGAACTAGCAGCATCACAATCCTATATAATAAAAGCGTAGCATGCAAATTGTCCCCTCGACCGGGAGTTCGACCAGGGGGTGGGGCCGGCTGGGGGAAGGGAGGAAGGCCCTGGCCAGCTGCGGCCACCAGGGGGAGAGAGGCCCTGGCCAGCAACCGGCAGCCGGCAGCTACTAGGGACCCTACCAGTGCATGAAATTCGTGCACTGGGCCTCTAGTATGTCAATAATTGTCTGTTGAAGGCAGTGTAACCTAGTAGTTGAAAAGAGGCCTCAGGAGCCAGAATGCCTAAATTTGAACATCAGCTCTGCCACTTACTCCCAGTGTGATTATGGGCAAGTTACTTAACCTCTCTGTGCTTCCGTTACTTCATCTGTAAATGGTAATAATGATACCTACACCTCATGGAACTGTTAGGAAGATTAAATAATTTTGTACAAAAAAAAAAAGAGAGAAAAAAGAGAGAAAAGAAAAGGTGCTCAGAACAGTGCTCGGTACACAGTAAAAAGCTCAATAAATATACTTTTTTAAGAATAAACTTATTGCCGAAACCGGTTTGGCTCAGTGGATAGAGCGTCGGCCTGCGGACTGAAGGGTCCCAGGTTCGATTCCGGTCAAGGGCATGTACCTGGGTTGCGGGCACATCCCCGGTAGGAGATGTGCAGGAGGCAGCTGATCGATGTCTCTCACATCGATGTTTCTAACTCTCTATCTCTCTCCCTTCCTCTCTGTAAAAAATCAATAAAATATATTTTAAAAAAAAGAATAAACTTATTTATTTCCTATTGAATACTTTGTTTTTAAATTTTTATAACATACTAAAACCCATTGAATTTTATAACTTAAAGAGGATGAACTTTATGATAGGTAAATTTATCTTAATAAAACTGTTTTTAAAAAGGTTATACAAAGATTTGATGGATTTGGGTATTCATGATAGTCAGAATTATCTATTTTCACTACAGCCCAAAATTCTTACCAGGACTGTATATTCTATGACCTAGGCTCAGGGATACAGGTGCTTTTGTGGTCAGAAGAGACTAGAACATTAGGTCTATAATAGCTCAACTCTGGTTGTTGTGAAATACCAAGTAATAAGGTTAAAATAAGATAAGATATAATCAACAAAAACTGATATTTAATTATTGTAAAATAGGGCTTCTATTAGTTAGCATCTAATTTGTTTAAAATGAAACAGGAGAATATGTGTGTGACAAGTGTTTGTGATGACATTCCATGCAATTTAAGAGTGTCCCCTTGATGCCTATAAAGATTGCTAGTTTCTTCCTTAAACTCCTTCAAATGACCTCACTCAACGCCCTCTCACTGGCTGCTATTAGCACTCATGTATATCTCTTGCAACGTGAACATGCAGGACACTCCAGAGTCACTCTTCTGTAAGCATTTGCAGGCAGGGATGATGCCTTATTCATCTGTGTCCCCCAACAGCTGGCACAATGTTTAATAGAAAATAAAGGTTCAAAACAGTATTGGAAAAAGAGAAAAAGAGACTCAATGCCACATACCATCCAAGTAATACAACTACATTATGCTTGTCTTGTTCCTTTCTCTATTCTATTGGTACTGCCATTAAAGTTTATAATCCCAAACCCAGTTAATCTTTACTCCTGTAAATCATAAAGCTTACTTTCTCATGGCAAACTATTTGTTTTACTCTATAGTTTTGTTGAAATCGTTTGTATTACCTCCATTATTCCTTTTCAAGGTGTAGTAAATTTTAAAAAATCTAGTTTAAAACAATTATCCTATAATTAATTTCCTTATTTTTCCATAGTGGTTCTAACTCTCTGTTCTAAAAAAAAATGCATATACATATAGTCTGTGAAATATGAATACATTTTTAAAACATTTCAGGGGATTCACAGACCCTCCTCAGGCCCAGTTAAGGATCCCAGGATAAGAACTCTTGGTTCACATGGTTTATATGTTTTGGCTCATTATTATGTAAATGCTCATATGGATTTGTCACTTTGCATGCTATAAACATCATTTAAAAGTATTTTTATTGATATCAGAGAGAACTGGTAAAGGAGACAGAAATATCAATGAGAGAGAGTCATTGATCGCTGCCTCCTGAAAACCCCACACTGGGGGTCCAGCCCAGGCATGTGCCCTGACAGGAATCAAACCCTGACCAGTCGATGCTCAACCACTGAGCCATGCTGGCTGGGCTAAACATAATTTTTAAGAGATAACACTTGCTGCCATAAAAATTAGACAGGGATAAATTGACATAACTTTTATTTGTAGTTTAGTAATTGTAAGGTACATTTAAAAATTTCAACACCTATGGGAGTTCTTTTTACAGCCAAGTCCCTATACTAGGGACTGGGGTCACAATAATGAACAAGACAGACATGGGTCCTGCCATGATGAAGGTCACAATGTAACAGAAGGGCTGAGAGTCAAAGAACATCAATATGGAGTGACTGTAGAGTTCCGAGCTGGACTAGGGAGAGTAATCAGAACTGATGCAATAAATAGACCAGAGAAGATGACAACTTAGGTTAAGACAGTGGCTATTGAGTGGAAGCCTAGAAAGTTCCAGAAGTAAAATCAACAGGGCTTGGCTGTTAAGAATCAGAGATGATGCTGAAGTTTGTGTTAGGCACACTGAGATGGGGAAACAGGAGGAGATAGTTTGGGTAGAAAGCAGATGAGTTTACTTGTGGACTTGTTGGGCTTGTCTTGCTTGTAGGATATAAGGAGGCTCTATCTAGCAGACAGATGGATGCATGAGTTTGAACTTTTAGAGAAATCTGTGCTATAGATTCGGGGCTGGAAGATAGCCAGAAACAAAAACTATGGAAAAGGGCATGGCTGAACAGGAAGAAGTGAGCCCAAGATAGAAACTTAAAGAATCAAGAAGAGTCTCAAAGAAGCAGAAAAAGAAATCAGAGGGGAAACTAGGAGAGGGTGGTGTCACGGAACTGATTCCCTTCCTGTTCAGGTGCCGTTATAATCTATTTCCTAACAGAAGTTTCTCTGAATTCTTTGGACACCTTAAATTGGAAAAGAGCTGTATAAACAAAATGTTTACAATGATCTATCTATAAATCAAAATCAATGTGTGCTCATAGTATACATTAAACACATTAAATTTACTAAATATAAAGGAACTTTGAGAATAAGTTAAGTGATATCAGATAGTAATTGATGCTTTTATCACCTAATACCATATCTTTAAACCCATAATCAAGACAATAGAAACTTGAAGTAACACCATTATCTTTATTCTAAAACATATCTTTGTATATGTGTCACAATATAAAGTATTTTACCACAATCTTATTTAATTCTTCCAAAAAAGCCATAAGGCAGGTGTAGAGGAATTTTTATGGCCCTTCTATTGACAAAGAAATAGACACTCAGAGAGGTAAAGACACTCTCCTAAAACCAGTCTAGAGCAGTGGTTCTCAACCTTCTGGCCCTTTAAATACAGTTCCTCATGTTGTGACCCAACCATAAAATTATTTTCGTTGCTACTTCATAACTGTAATGTTGCTACTGTTATGAATCGTAATGTAAATATCTGATATGCAGGATGGTCTTAGGCGACCCCTCTGAAAGGGTCGTTCGACCGCCAAAGGGGTCGCGACCCACAGGTTGAGAACCGCTGGTCTAGAGATTGGCAGAGCTCCATCCACCCTGCCAGTTCAGGATGATGTAGGGAAAGAATTTCTTATTCTTGTACCGTTAGTTCCACTAAGCTGACTATATAAAGACACTTTTTCAAGTGGGTGTGACTAGACCAGGAGTGTGGAAAGCAGTGACTCACCTAATCTGCTACGTCTAATCTCTTCTGGGGAGACAGGCCGCAGCTTTCTTTCTGCTTTGATTTCTTCTAGTATTCTTTCATGGAGGCTCCGTGGCCGTGGTGGAGTGGGTTTTAGTTTTCTGGCTGAGGCCTTGAAAAAAACACATAATGGTTGGAGACTTTAAGTAGTTGTCCTTATATAGTTTTTACTTAAGTCCATTCATACAGTATAATGTTATGAAATGATATTTTATGGATTGACACATTGCTTGATAAAAAACTATTTAGAGTCATTATCAAGATTTCTAAAGCAATAGGGAGATTTCTGAATTTCACAGTGATTTAGTCGTACGTGCTTAACTAATTTTAAAGAGACAACTGTGGCTCAGTGGTTGAGTGTCAACGTATGAACCAGGAGGTCACAGTTCAATCCAAGTCAGGGCACATGCTGGGGTTGTGAGCTCAATCCCCAGTGGCGGGGGGTGGACAGGAGGCAGCTGATCAATGATTCTCTCTCATCACTGATGTTTCTCTTTCTCTCTCCCTCTCCCTCCCTCTCTGAAATCAATATATATATATATATATATATATACACACACACACACACACACACACACACACACACACACATATATATTTAAAAAAGAGAAAATTTTGTTAAAGTTAAAATTATGTTCCCTATATGCAAGCATGAGAGGCAATTAACTGAAATGCAAGCTATACTTTAATACTATTATTGTTTTTGAAAAGAATATTTTCAAGTCACCACAACCTTCTCAGATTATTATTATCTTTATTCTATAGTTGTATAAATAAAGGCTCCGGGAGGCTGATTAACTTGCTCAGAGACAGATGGCTGCTAAATCTTGGAGCTAGTGTGTAAATCCAGGTTTATTTGACACCATGCTCTCTCTTCTCTCCCATGACCTGCATTCTTAAAATTATTTCCTAGGTGGCCTCTTCCCCTTCTTTTAAAAAGATTTATAAGAGGGATCATTAATTATGCTTTAGACCCTGTGTACATTCCCTTTCAGGTTAATGAATGTACAAGGGTTAAGAGGCTTTGGTGAGCACTGGTATTGAGCCAAGGGGAGAAGTGAGGAACAAAGGAAGCACAAACCAATGCTCATCCAGATTAAAATATTCTGATTCCATGGTCACTAAAAAGAAGTGTTAACAGAGGAAGATAATATAAAAGTAGATGTACAGAAGGGTGAATTTACTGCAAAATAGTATGGAAATGACAATTTAATCAAAGAGGTTATTAGCACTATGAAGTAAACTGGAAGGGTAGGCAATCCACACCAGGAACAATTTGATATTATATTTAGCCATTATTCTAGGAAGTTTTTGTTCAGATTTTGCACTATAACCCAGGTTGTTTTGAATTGAAACATCCTAAGATAGCCTTGTATTAAACAAGTTAAGAGTTTTCCTGTGACTTAAATGTAAATCTATAGTTGGGAGTTACCATCTATCTTCTATATATATAAAAGGCTAATATGCAAAGTGTTCCCTTGGGAGTTAGACTGGGAGTTTGATCGCTTGCTATGACGTGCGCTGACCACCAGGAGGCGGCGTGGATCGAAGGAAGGCCCCAATCGGCCCTGATCGCAGGCCAGGCCTAGGGACCTTACCTGTGCACGAATTTTGTACACCAGGCCTCTAGTTCTGAGAATAAAAGCTCAATGTAAAAACTAACCACTTTAAGAGCTGAGTTCTAGAGATCACACCCTATAGGAGAATAATTCATTCTGTGAATGCCAATCAAGAGGAATAAGTCAAATTACATACTGGATTTAAAGGAGGTCTTGATCTGATGAAGTCGAGAATGATTTCATGAGCACTTTTTTTTAACCGAGGAGGAATATCACCATTCACCTGAAAAAAAAAAAAGACAGAAAGTAGAAGATTCATCTGATTATAGCAGTGATTTTCAACAGTGTGCCACAAGAATTTTTAAAACAAGCAATACCTGACTATTTAGTCAGGGGCACTGACCTCTTTTCTCTTAGATCAATGGTTCTCAACCTTCTGGCCCTTTAAATACAGTTCCTCATGTTGTGACCCCCAACCATAAAATTATTTTCGTTGCTACTTCATAACTGTAATGTTGCTACTGTTATGAATCATAATGTAAATATCTGATATGCAGGATGGTCTTAGGCGACCCCTGTGAAAGGGTCGTTCAACCGCCAAAGGGGTCGCGACCCACAGGTTGAGAACCGCTGTCTTAGATTGTCAAATAAAAAAATGACAATCTTAATCAGAGAAACAAGTATCACATGATCTCACTCATATGTGGAATCTAATGAACAAAAATAAATTCACGAAGAAAATATATCCAGAGACATAGAAGCATGGAAGAAACTGATGAATTTCAGAGGGAAGACAGTGGTGGGTGGATGTGTGGAAAAAGATTAACCAAAGAATTATATGCATATATGCATAATCCCTGGGTCTTCTTTAAGAAGTAAAAGAAGAAAATAAAGGATCAAAAATACAAATCATAAAATGGTACATGTCTAGCAATAATTACTTTAAATGCAAATGAATTATGTACTCTAAAAGATATACGGTGGCCAAGTGCTGACTACAAAAGACTCACTTCAAATAAAAAACAAAACAAAAAGGAAGCTGTGGTAGCAATACTTATACCAGACGAAATAGATCTAAAAAACAAAATAAATGAACAAGAAGAACAGAAATAGACTCACAGATACAGAGAACAGTTTGACGGTTTCGAGATGGGAGGGAGCTGGGGGGGGGGGGATGGGTGAAAAGGTGAAGGTATTAAGAAGTACAAATTGGCAGTTACAGAATAGTCACAGGGATGTAAAGTACCAATAGAAAATATAATCAATAACACTGTAATAAGAAGCACAAATCGGCAGTTTCAGAACAGTCACAGGGATGTAAAGTACCACATAGGGAATATAATCAATAATACTGTAATAACTATGTATGTGTCAGATGGGTACTAGATTTATTGGGTGATTGAGTTATATAATGATTTAACTCCTAAGAACTTAATTCAAAGATTTAATTGTAGCTATTCAAAAAGATTTATATACAAGGTAACACAAAACAGGATGTTGATAACTGGATATAAGTTGATTAGTTTAATGAACTCTGGTATAGCCATAAGCTGGAAAAGATGCAGTCATTTAGAAATGATGTTGAATAAACAATGACATGAGAAAATGCTCATATGTTAAGTGAAAATAACAGGTTACAAAACAAAGATTCCAATGTTAATCCATATTGTCCAAATAAAATGTATAGAAAAAAATTGAAGGTTATACACCAGCATGTTAGCAAAATTTCTCTCTGGATTGTGGAATTACATATTTTTAATTTTTTTCTTTGAGCTTTTTTATATTTTCCAAATCTTCTATAATGATCATGTATTACTTTTATGAGAAAAAAATATTTTTAAAGTATAACATTGAAAAGAACATTTTCAACAAATAAGATTACTGAATACCCATTTGAATCCATTAATAGTTTTCTTTGTTACTTACCATCACTTTTCGCAAAGTGTATCTTTTGGATCTAATGTCATCCATTAGCATCTCATAAGGGGTGAGTTGATATTCAATGGGCAAAGGGTTGTACTGCCGCTCTTGGACCTTTTTAAGTTTTACTCCATTCCGCAAATCCCTCATCACCTGTACCCAGAATCGAGCCTGAAAGTACCAATGGTAGAGAGACATCAATGAATGAATTTATTAGTTTCCTATAAATAGCTACAGTCACACAGAAAAAATGAAGATCTTGGATTACAAACAAAAACAATTTTAAAATTAAATTTTAGGCTACTAAAAAGTAAGTAGAAAGCCCAGTAGAGAATCCACAAGCTATAACTGCTGAGACACCTGGGTATAAATCCTAAACCCATCCACTTTGGTAGACATTAATGGTCTCAGTTCTTCAGGCCTCCTGTGTCTACACTGTTATGTAGCTTTGCTCACTAAAGAGGAAGACTGTACTTCTCACACCTTGATATATGATTTGGTTGGCCATTGGAATAGTAATGGATATGACGTGACTAAAGGCTTCAAAAGCAAATGCACAATGGGCTGTCATTCGCACGTCTATTATCGCCATAAGGACAACATGCCTGGATTGACATGATGCCCACTGGAATGACCACCTAGCAGAAGGATGAGACACACATAGAGTGGAGTTACTACAATTGATCTGCAAACTCATGAGCTAAATTAATATTAATGCCTAATGCCACAGTGATTTTGTAGTGCTTGGTTACATGGCATTATAGTGACCATAAGAAACTTATACAACCACCTATTAGCTATTGGACATCCAGGCAGCTGCTTCATCTTTCTGAACCCTGGCTTCCTTATCACTAAAAGAAAATGGTACTTCATAACTTGTTGAGCAGATCAGAGATGTTCTCTATATAGAATATGTGTTCTGTACATAGAAAATGCATAAAAATGACAATTTTTATGTTATCTTTGCACAAATTATTTAATATCAGTTTTATCTACAAATAGCAAGTTGCTTTGTCTATCTTTCAAAAGATTGAGATATATATGAAGTACTTATAGTAATGTAAAACATATTCAATATGTGTATTATAATTTAACCCTTTTGTTTTCCCGCTTTATAAGCTAACGGTGTCATAGTCTCTACTTCATTGAAAAATAAATCAAGCCCTAGCCGGTTTTGCTCAGTGGCTAGAGCGTCGGCCTGCGAACTGGAAGGTCCCAGGTTCGATTCCGGTCAAGGGCACATGCCCGGGTTGTGGGCTCGATCCCCAGTGGGGGACTTGCAGGAGGCAGCCGATCCACGATTCTCTCTCATCGTGGATGTTTCTATCTCTCTCTCCCTCTTCCTTCCTCTCTGAAGTCAATAAAAAAAATATCAATATGATATTTAACTGTAGTTTGTTAAACTTAGTATCTCAAATAGCTACTTAAATATACACTGAGTGGCCAGATCATTATGACCGGCCAGATTATTATGACCACCCCATTAGTACAATGAAGTGAATTAGTTATGCAAATAATAATAATAAAACCTTGAGAGTATTTGCTTAGGAAGTTTACAATATTCAGTATTTTTGGAATGTCAATGAAGTACTGATGGGGTGGTCATAATAATCTGGCTGGTCATAATAATCTGGCCACTCAGTGTATTTTAACATCAAGTGGTATAATTTATAAGAATTGTCTATAAAGATAACTCTAATTAAATGTCTCAAAAATGTCCCCCAAAACAATTTGTGATTAAAAAACAAAAACAAGCCGAAACCGGTTTGGCTCAGTGGATAGAGCATTTGCTTAGGAAGTTTTCAATATTCAGTATTTTTGGAAGTGTCAATGAAGTACTGATGGGGTGGTCATAATAATCTGGCCACTCAGTGTATTTTAACATCAAGTGGTATAATTTATAAGAATTGTCTATATAGATAACTCTAATTAAATGTCTCAAATCTGTAAAAAATCAATAAAATATATTTTTTAAAAAATGTATACCATTTCTTATTCCAAAAAGAATTTGAGGCACTTAATATTGAGGTATACCCATTAGAACATCTTCTAAAATATTCCTTTTTAAAAAAATAGTTTAGATTCTGCCATTAAAGATATTCTAATACGTCCCTAAAATAGTTAGCTTTCTCTTGTCCCAACTTCTCTACTTTTCTTACTTATTCCTTTAAGATCTAGTTCAATCTATCTCATCTTTTAAAAATATGAGAGGTCTTCTCTGACCTCCTCAGGCTTTAAGAAAACCTGACATATGAAACTTGGAATTCTCAAAATAGGTAAATTAGGGGATGATCACTCACATAACTTTTGCTATAATTTATGAAAGGATTAAAACAGCCTTGTTTTATATAGCCAGTTCTTTATGTATTATTGTTTGGCAAAAATTTTACAAATTACTTTTCAGAATTAAAGTCATGGTTATTATACAACATAATGCACAACTGTCACTGTATATATTCCCAGAGATTTTATTACTTCCCCCTTATTCCACTAGGAATATCCTGAGATGTTTAGAGTCAGCCATAAAAAAATTCTGATTCTCCTTCATTCTATTCCTCATTTCATTCTAATCTTTCTAGGTAATTAGAAAGCAACTCTAATATGTCCAAAAGCAAGTTGTTCATATCTCCCAAATCTGCATCTTTTCCTACTTTCTCATTTAATAATGTCATTACTTATCCAGTGTACTTAACCTGAAAAGTCAGAATCCTAAAATGTGTTTTCCCATTGCCACCTGAACATACCTGTCTAACTCTGTGACATTCACTGTCCTGTCCCCATGGGCCGTCATGCCTGCCCGACTTTAAGTCATCTATGAGGACAGGGATTCAGGGAGCTAGTACCAGGCTGGAAAAACAGTAGACACTCAAATGTGTCACATGAATACACCACCATCATCTGCTCTAGAACTCTGTCTTCTGTTTTATGAAAGCAGAGTCCCCATATTATTCATTCTGCATCCCCAGGGAATAATTGAATATACTACACTATATTTCATACCTTATCCTGAAACAGAGCATAAACTTTGACTTACATATAAGATTATGCTAAAGTATTAATATAATCAGAAAGATCAATATTTTAAAACACTGAAACTCCCAGAGACATTGGGGTGATTCTAATGAAATCAGATAGTTTTATTAAATGGGAAATAGATATTTCCTCAAATGAAAGACTAGGTATTCAAATTCATGTAACATCAATTCATACTACAGTCCTTAACAACCAGTTATTTCTTCTCTAACACTAAACAGAACAGGGATTCTGCCCAGCTCTTACCCAGTCAGCGTTTTTCAGCTCCTCCAGTTCTGTGTTTGATTCATTGCTCTTCTCCATTTCTTGAATCTTCTTAAGATTCTACCAGTTGAAATAAAAATATTTGGCATAAAAATTTCATTTAGCTACCTTCTCAACTTAAAATTTCTAATGGATACCTTCAGATAAAATATACACAAAACGGTTATTGAAGCAGATAATACAGGTAGTGTCAGGTTCAACAGAATCACCAATTCTTCAGGGAAACCTTCCCTTCCTCCTTGAACAAGCCAAACCTTCCTGCCATACAACTTTGTGGCACCATAAACCTTTCCTCTATGGTTCTTATCAACACTAATTTTACATTTGTTTGTGCCTTCCTCTAGACTCCATGACTCAGATTTCTGTTCTCAGAAGCTAATATAAGCACTGCCACTTTTGATACTCAAATAATTTAATAAATACATTTCAATATACAAAATGTCTTTATTTTTAATTTGATACATATATATATTGCAAAATGGCTATCACAATAAGGTTAGTTCCACTTCCATCTCCTCACATAATTATCTTTTTTTAAATGGTGAGAACATTTAAGATCTACTCTCTTTGAAGCTTTCAAGTATGTAATATAATATTGTTAACTATAGTTACCAGGCTATACATTAGATCCCCAGAACTTATTCATCTTATAACTGGAAGTTTGTACCCTTTGAAATTGCATTAATTCAACATCCGCAATAAAAAAATCTTGATAGGTAAAATATATATTCACATATTAATTACAATTTTGTGTTATAACATTCCTACTCACAATAATTCAACTCTAATATATTTTGCTAAGCATATTTGCCTAATTGCATTTGGACTAAGTTTAAATGAATTGTATGAAACCTAATTTGTTTTATATACAAATAATGAATACTTAATATAAAATATTTCTAAACCATTTATTTTTAGTTTTTCAACACCTCAGATTAACCATCTGCAAAATGATAATAACACCATCTGCTTTTTTGTACTTAATAATGCCCAGGAGTATTAATACAGAAAGAATAAAATTACTCTGAGGAAAAGGTGGTATAAATAATGCATTATCTCCTCTCTCCCTAGGAAAGAAATTAGGAGAAAAAAAGTATATTTGGTTGTTTCAGAATGTGTTTCCATAATTATTTTTAAAAAGAAGTCAGGTTTCCTGCTTGGGACTATATAATAAGACACTTGCCACTCCTGAGTCACGGCCCAGTGACTCAATAATTTGCGAACTGGAAGGTCCCAGGTTCGATTCCGGGACCTTCTGTTCCCCACCTTTAAAAGGAAGATACCACCATCTACCTCACAGTGTTGTGTTTAAAATATAATCAATTAAACATAGCAGAACCTTGCATTTACATCCTCTGGGGAAAAGGAACTTCCAAAACATGCATACCCTAATTCTCCTCTGAACTATAGGATATATACTACTCATATGTCAGTGGGCATCCATTGCTTTTGTCTAGAAACCCTTTCCCTCCCTTCCTTTCATAAAGATCCTTCTCTCGGTAGGGCATGCATCCCCTACAGGTTGAGTAGGGCTGAGCCCATGCTTAGCATCTTGTCACCATCTCCCAAGTCACAGTGACTGGTTCCTGAGTGGGCACATAACTCCTTATCTTCCTCCAATACTTTTCTGCCCCAGTTAACAGAAAAGACTTTCTGCTGTAGTTACTGAACTGAGAACATAGGAGATTTGGGCAGCACATTGTCATCTTACCTGCCTTTACCTGAGGGCCTGTCCGGGGATAGAGAAAGAGAGCCAGCCCTGATCACAGGGTTTGAGGTACTGGATCCAGCTCTGCCTAAGCTAACGGTACCTTTAAACTTCCCACTGATGGGAGCCAATAAACCCGGCCCACTCCACCCATGCTAATTTGAGAGGACTGTCCCTTGCAATAGAAACAGTTATGATTTCATATGTCCTCTTAGTCCAGAAATATGAATTCATTCTTCTTTGTCTTTGGGGTACTCTGGTGGAATAGTACAAGAAACATATGGCTTCTCTTCCATCCAACCTTACTTTTTACTATTCTCCAACATATTCCTGACTAAATGTAGTCAGGATGGTCTCACTGTTGTGCCTTTACACATCTCCACCTTTACTTGTGCAGTGATAAAATCTCTAACTCTCTGCTAAGAAACACTATCTATTCTTTATAACACAGAAGATACTTTCAATGAATGGTCCAAGATTTTCATGTTTATTTTTCTGAAAATAAAGTAGCATAAATTGTAACTCAGATACTTCCTAGCTGTGTGACTTTGAACAAATTATTAAACTGCTCTAACCCTCAGTTTGATGTTTTCATCTGTAAAATGCAGGTATACCTTTAGCATTCTGTTAATATTACATAAAATAATACAGGAGAAATACAGCATGCAGCCTAGCTCATGGTAAACATATAGTAGGTATTAACTTTATAAGCCAATGAATATCTATGAGGATTTGATTGTGAACACTTTTACTCCATCACAAAAACATTGCATTCTTTTTACCAAATAAGATCTCTCTCTAGCTTCTTTATGAAATAAAATTCAGATTCAGCAATAAATCAATATAATACAGTTAAGAATCTGTAACTACTATAATTGAACAAGCTACAACCAATGTGCAACTAAAAATCTCACGTTTTTCTTGTTAGCAGCAAAAACAATGAGATATTTGAAATAAAATTACAGATTTTTCTAATTTTAGAAATAAGCTTCTGTCAATGATATTTTAGCGTCTGAATAAATGTTTTTTTGCTTGCACAAATGTAATAACAGATGCCAACCTGTGCTTAGAATACGGTGAGAAAGTTCTGAGAGCACCCACATGGCAATTAACTCTTCCCATTTCTAACATAACCAGTCTCAAGACAGCAATTAGAACTGCTCCATGCCAACATTTTCAGTTCCTGGCATGTTAAAAATAAAGAAATTAAATCTACTCTGTAAATTACAAGTATATCAAATGCTCAGAGAGTAATTTTAATTCACATGTCTCTTCTTAAATTAAACTACCCTTACAAATATATTCACGTATAAAAAATAATCTATCTATCTATCTATCTATCTATCTATCTATCTATCTATCTATAAAAGCCTAACCATTCGAACATTAGCTATGATGCGTACTGACCACCAGGGGGTAGACACTCAACACACAGGCATGGAAACATAGAAACATGCATACTAGAGGCCCGGTGCACAGATTTGTGCACCAGTGGGGTCCCTCGGCCTGGCCTGCGGGGGCAGGGCCGAAACTGGCATTCCGACATCCCCCAAGGGATCCCAGATTGCGAGAGACCACAGGCCAGGCTGAGGGACCCCCACCAGTGCATGAATCCATGCACCGGGCCTCTAGTATTTTAATAACAGCATTTTTTTAAAAAATATATTTTATTGATTTTTTACAGAGAGGAAGGGAGAGAGATAGAGAGTTAGAAACATCGATGAGAGAGAAACATCGATCAGCTGCCTCCTGCACATCTCCCACTGGGGATGTGCCCGCAACCCAGGTACATGCCCTTGACCGGAATCGAACCCGGGACCCTTCAGTCCGCAAGCCGATGCTCTATCCACTGAGCCAAACCGGTTTCGGCAATAACAGCATTTTAATGATCACTATTTTCCTCCATATTGTTAACTATTTGTCATTTAGTGGTATTCCCCTATGCAAAGTTCAGAAACTTTTAAATGTGTAAAAAGGAGTATTTCAATAATTCCATGAACCAAGTTTTTTTACTCAGTTAAAATATGTTAATATACTTTCAAAGAAATTACATTGTTTTTTCTCCTAACAGAAGATACTCTCTGTATATAAAATTTCTTTTTATATTCCTACATATAATATTCCCTTTGAAGTAAAATATTTTTGAAGTAAAATACTTTAGCATTAAAGATAAACTGAGCTCAAGAACTGCATCATGAAATTATGATTCTTGTATAGCACAAATTGAAATAATATATGTAAATCATTTAATAAAGTGTCACTGTAGTGTGATTATATAGTATAAAATATACACATATAATCTTTTGAAAATTCATAATAAACCATGAGTATTTCTAATTCATCTTCTTACCTCATAATTTCAATATCTGATCAAAGACGAGCAGATAAAGATAAATTGGCTCCAATCTGGGCATCTAGAAATCATCCTCGCACAATAGGATTTTATTAAATTTAGGGTAAGCTTAACCATTCAGAAGAATTTGACGAATGAGATGTGAGGATCATTTAAACATTTAGAAAATCAAGCCCTCAGCAAAATGCTACTTTTAAACAGCTGTAGTTATGTGTATTGGTAGAGGAAACAAAATGTTTCATTCCCTGGTTAGATGCTGGCGGCGCCCCTCCTCACACTGCTGGAATGCTGCTCCTACACTGTCATTCCTACTCGAGTATCTTGTTCACCACTATGTCCCCAATGAAAATGGAAATAATAATAGCACAATGCACAGCTTGTTGTGAGAACCACATAAATTCATGCACATAAAAAGTCTTAGAATAGTATTTCACACAAAGTATAGAATAAATATTAGCTATTATTAGTTGTAGTAGCATGTGTCATGTAGGAGACACACTAATTAACTGTAGTATGAATTAATGAATTTTGCCAACTGATCCTAGTTCTTTTGAAATCTAGTGCTTCTTCACTCACGTGTATATGCTACAGCTAAATATGGCTATTATGTTCTCACAATTCTTCACCAAAATTCCCCAGTTCCTTGACAGTTTCTTCCATATTGAGGTTTATAGATACCTCCCTTCACATCCTGACTTCTTTTCTCAAGATCCATTTTTGTTGTTGGTCACTATTTCTAAAACATTAAAAAGTAGTGTTAATCCCAATTCTTTTTATCACCAGGGACAGCTAATTTATTACAGGCTGTTAAACTGTGCTTCAGTTTCCTATCTACAAAATGATGGGAGGCATGCAGAGTGGAGGGGGTCAATGGGAAAACCCCCCCACAAAGGGGACATCTGTAATACTTTCAAAATGATGGGAGGAAAAGGGCAAGTCTACCTAATTAATAGGAATATCATGAGAAAGTGTTCACATAAGCAACAAATAAGACATACT